CGATATTTATAAGATTCGGTAACCAGTTAAGACTAGATGAACCGTTTAAACGACTTAAAACATCGCTATGTAGAGCTATACAGAGCTGTCTTATGCATAATTTGTCCCCAAAAAAATCCTTAAATTTTAAAAGAATACTTCCTTTCTCTTCCGTACAGTTTTCTTACCTAAATCTCATATTTAGTAGGTTTAATGTTCCTCAATCTGTAATGGTCTATATTTGCTCTTGTGGTGCTTATCGGTGTTTAAGCGCACCGTACCATTAACTACACGTATTTTAGAATTGTGCTGCATTAAGAATGATTGCGATGTTTGATTTACGTATTATTTTTTAATTATTGCATAGAAGAGTAATCGAACTTAGGGCCCCCTGGTTTTAGTGGTCACATAATAATGTACACTATATTCCGATTCTTTTTCATAAGTAAACGTGATTTCTGAAAATCAATTTATAGAAGTTATTAAAGAAAAAATAACTCAATACGGTTATCGTATCAAAATCTTTAAAGAACTAACAATTGAGCATAATTTTTATTATTATTCCATATAAGTATTCACATATTTTCCTTCTCATACTTTCCAACCCTAATTTTGGGTTCCTTACTTCAGTTCTGGTAGATTTTATTACAAGTTCACGCGTAGGTTAACTATCGTCCGATGTATTTATGCCATGAATTAAATGTGTTCTGGTCTGAAGACGCGTATAGCCAATCTACCAATGCTTTTCAAATTCGTATAAATCACTAACATATACAAAATTGTGTCTTTCTATTATTTTTTCCTTGAAATAATATAGGTTTAATTAAATTATTCGAACCACGCACGCCGCGTTGCAATGCGCGGTCAGTAACTCGCGAGTTATTTAATAGCCGCGAGCCCAATACTGAAAGTTATTACTTACTTCCAGCAATGAGAAATAGGTCAATAGTTTCAGTACGGTAACAAAAGCTAGTTAAACGGACGGCCATATCCCTTGCTCTAAATTTAAATGCAGTTGCTTGCAGTTCACAGAGACGGTGAGCGTGCTAGATTGTATTCTGAATTCTGTGGTAAAGTTGAATCGATTTGTGGCTAAGGTTTGGCTATTACATACATCCATTAAAATCCAAAAATGCTAGTTTTGGAATTGTCTTTAACTTTCTAAATATTTGAGTACGAAATTCAGTCAAATAAAACTAATAGTACATTATTATAGTTTTTAGGTATTTTGTTATTGAGTTTCATCGATGCATTAAACATTTAAAGCGTCATATCAATATTGAGGTCTGGCTGTCGGAGGTTTTGTGATATGGCTGACTTTCGACAACCAAGAAAAGACCCAATTCCACAAATTATAGCGGGAAGACAGCCTACAATGCAATCGGTTTTAAAGTTGCATCAAATATATTGGATAAACCGTATACCGTTGGATAAATAGTATATATGCGGGAATAAATACATGCAGTTGTAAAGAACTGACCCCATTTAGATATTAAATATCTAAATGAAAAGCATGGATGGAAGTATAAAAATCCAGCACACATGACACAATGATGTTTTAAAAAAAATCTGTAATTTATTTTAATGTCCTTAGATTATTATGTTATTTTGAATTATAGCGGGAAGACAGCCTACAATGCAATCGGTTTTAAAGTTGCATCAAATATATTGGATAAACCGTATACCGTTGGATAAATAGTATATATGCGGGAATAAATACATGCAGTTGTAAAGAACTGACCCCATTTAGATATTAAATATCTAAATGAAAAGCATGGATGGAAGTATAAAAATCCAGCGCACATGACACAATGATGTTTTTAAAAAATCTGTAATTTATTTTAATGTCCTTAGATTATTATGTTATTTTGAATATTATTCGTCTTAAATGCTGTCGACAAAACGCAGTAATGTAAAAACGAAATTGCATTTCATAAGCAAAACTAATTTTAAAAGCTACCAAACGAAGAGAGGACACCAGATCCCGGCGAATGCTCGTAAATTTCGGCGGTCCGCTCTATTTTTTTTCTTTTGACACATTTAACGATAACTTACAACGATAACAGCTTTTCATAGAATTTCAATAAGAATGAATACTAATTGAAAACAGCGTTTTGTTAATATTACCTACGTAAAATCCTAGTAGTATTATATCTAACTACCAAGACTGTCTGAATCTGAATAAAAGGTGTACGAAAAGATTTATTGTTAATACGATACAATTTTTTGATGCTGCGTATCAAATAATATTAAATAGTAATTACAAAGTATTTAAATTTTTTTAGGAAACATTCACGTTGTATTTATGGAGAGCTATAGATATATCATATTCACAGGATGGTCTCCGCGTCTACTTTCTATTACCATTTCGCCACCCTCCGCCAGGGCATAGATCATTAATATTAACTGGAATCACAACGTTAGTCTATAGTGTAATCCAAAAGGTCATATTTGCCACGCACCGTCTGGCTCTGAATGAACTTCTGTCCACGGTGTGCCTCCAGGCTATGATATTCTTCTTCAACCAAGGTTTGAAAAGAATCCTCGGCGCTAGATTTTGCAATGCCCCTGATATTATTGCTGTTGTACATGATGACTACACACCAACATGCGGAACGTACGCTACACTGCTATCAACTACATATAAAAATGGAATTACAAGTATTTGAGCTAACTCTCACTAATACACAGATTTTAGAAAATTGTAATTAACGAAATTACTGTTGGTACGGTATATTATAAGCCCGAAAGAGTAAGTACCACCACCGTGGCTGGTTCTGCCGCGAAGCAGTATTTAATAGGCTGTGAGCTCATTCACCCGCAATAAAAAATTAAAAAAAGATACTACTATCTCATGACGATAGGTTTTCAATGGCTCGAGGCATAAGAACAAAAGAAAAGGCCGGATTACTGTTTTCGAAGTTATATTTGTATGACAAACTATTTATAATATATCTGTATCTCATAAGTACAATTAAGTAACAAATGAAAAATTTCGCTTGAAAATTTTTTTATGCAACTGCGTAATAATCAGTAGTGTGTTGATTGCACATAATACAATGTTGTAAGTATCATTAATGCACATATGTATAAATGTATACCCTGCGGCAGCGTATGTAAGGTACGAGGGGAGGCGCGGGATGTGCGAATGGCCATTATCGCTCTGGACACTACTGATTGTTTATCCAATATGTTCCTTGAATTGCAATTAATGACTCAACTGTTCTATAATCGCATGTTCCCATATAATGTCATCATGTATTATATCCGACAGCTCATTGCTTAAAATGTGTGTGGCCTGATAATGAATGTATTATGTGGTTTCATGGCATTGAATATTGGCCTGAAAACTAAAAACTTAATGTTATTTAATAGGTGTAATGACCAAATATGCTTTTCAAATTTGTTTCGAATAAAAGTTAATCAGCTTTAAAAATAGTCATGCATCTACCGAAACTGCTCCTTCGTATTTACTAAATTTAAATATGAAGGTACCTCGATCAATATTTAAAATCAAACCCAATATTTTTATTATGAGACAGTTATTGTAAAGATCTGGAACTTTTTAAAAATATCTGAGAATTCAGCGTTTTCTAACAAGTTTTTGCCTTTTTTTTGTCAACATTAATCATTACAACAAAATTAGTATGTTTGTTCAAATACTTTACAAAAAACTAAATGAATTAACAGGCCGTACAATGGCATAGTGCTCAGTAGGAAGAAGTAGACGACACGCCACCCACTCGTCTCATCTGCGAACACGCTCAAAAATTGCAAAATACATTCTAAAATGCTTTAATTTAGGTCTGTGTTAATGTAATTAAGCATGAAGTTATAAAACATTGATTAAAAAATGCGCTAGCTACATATTATTAATACTTCAATCTCAGAATAATAAATCTTCAATTTTTTCAATAGTCATCGGTGACGTGTGCGACAAGTGATATTATTACATTGCGTCGTCGAGCAAATTTAGCGATGTTGTCAACGGAAAATTGATATGTTACTAGTTACTGGCGCTTTAATAAATGGTGATGGAGTCCTATTTCTTATTTCTGAGAACGAGCATCCACATTTGTATAGTTATGCGGTTTAATGCATTTCAAATGGTACACACCGTCGTGTATTATTTTCATCAATTTTATCGCGATTGTTTTATGCCTGACCCTAAGTCAGAGCATTTTGTAATTGTTGACTTAAAATTTTACTATTTTAATCCCATTTTTGCATACCTTACGTTAATCTGGTGATAGGACCTCTTGTGAGTCCGCACGGGTAGGAGCTCACAGCCTACCTGGTGTTAAGTGGTTACTGGAGTCCACAGACAACTACAACGTAAATGCGCCACCCACCTTGAGATATAAGTTCTAAGGTCTCAAGTTTAGTTACAACGGCTGCCCCACCCTTCAAACCGAAACGCATTACTGCTTCAAGGCAGAAATAGGAGGGGTGCAATCAATTATTATTAATTTTAAAATAATACATTAAACCGTATTAGTTCATCATATTGACACAATATCCCATCTAACAAACTTAAGAGTGTTTCTGAATTGTAATAAATTGGAACATATGAAACGATGATGCAATATTTTGCTGACATCATGTTTAGAGCTGTTATGTACATATATATTCTCCAAACTATTCCGGTGATAAAAATAATATCAGAATGAACTAGTTGAAAAAAATTAATGTTAATATGTATTTTTAAAGTACTGTTGTTGTTCGATTGATTGCTTCCGAATCCGAATGTTGGAAATTATCGATACTATTATGTACAAGTGCTTTTTTACAGAAAAACACTTACGACTAAATCTTTGTATTTATACATACCTATATTGTAATTTCCGACGAGATTTTATAAACCCGAAAAAGGTGGCACCACCGTCGTACCCGTGTCAGCTGCGAAACAAACACGTGTCCTGTAGCTGAAGGACGATGCTATGTAGATGTTTCATTATTAATTATTGCTTCTTATAATACTACATATTTAAAACCATGCACTAATTTGTATATTTTAATAGGTGGTCTGTAATCAGACTCTGTGTGATTGTCGTGGAATAAAAGGAGATCAAGGAAGCATAGGCCCTCCGGGCATCCCAGGCCTTCAAGGGGACTACGGAGCAGATGGACTCGAAGGAAGAATTGGTTTACCCGGTGTGCCGGGAGACTGGGGAGAACGCGGAGATTTCGGGGACAAAGGAGAACGAGTAAGATTTCTCACTTCCTTAAAACTTCTGTTACAAAACTTTGACATAAACTAACAATAAGCTTTACTTTTAGGGAACCGAAGGATCTTATGGCCGACGAGGAGACGAAGGACCACAGGTATATATTCACACTTTGTACGAAGTAATAACTTCTTATTAAAAAGAAGGAGACAGTTTAATTCAGTTGGTGTTTTTTTATTTAAAACTATTTTTTTTGTAATCTGATTTGAAAACAAGACACATTTATTCAGTAGATTACTTTTTAGAGGTAGTCAGCATTCTCCATTTAACGGGAGTAGGTACGCCCAAAATACGGAGAAAGCTTATGAAGCTTTTTTTTAAAACACGTGTTCTTGACAAAAAATTAAAAGTCGGTGATATTAAACAAATGTGCTTTCATCATAATTATCATATCATGAATATTAAAAAAAAAATGGCTGGTTATCAAGTGAGAAGCTGAGCTTTTTTTATTGATTATGAAAATAATATATAGCCCATGGAAAAAATCGTCTTGACATGCAATATTCTTGGATACAGAGAACTACCCTAACTTGATTCAATGAATATTACAATTTCTTCTGAGTCATTTGCATGTTCAAATGCCTTGTTTAATTGGAAATGAGTTTGAATACGATATTATCTAAATTTATTTAATTTTAAAGGGTCTGCCTGGGTTAGAAGGAGTATTTGGATTCCCAGGATTGGACGGCTGTAGTGGTATTGATGGAGTTCAAGGCGTTCCCGGTATACAAGGTCCACCTGGTGATAGAGGTATTCCAGGACCTTACGGAGAAAAAGGCCTTCAAGGCTTGGCAGGAGAAGGTGGAGTTAACTCAAGAGGTGCAAAAGGAGATCAAGGAGATGGTGGTAGACCAGGTAGTTATGGACTTCCTGGACCCCAGGGTTGGAGAGGAGACAGTGGTCTACCCGGAGACGAGGGTGATCAAGTAAGTTAGTGATTTTAATTATTTAATTTCTTAAGCTCTATATTAATGCCTTGTTTTATATCACAATGAAATTTTGCATTCAAGGGCCCAATGGGCTTAAAAGGAGAACCTGGATATAGTGGCGACTTGGGTGAAGATGTCATAGGACCAGCTGGAGAAAAGGGAGATCAAGGCAATGTTGGTGATAGAGGAAGACCTGCCTCTCTAGTAATTGTCGATGAAGTACGAGAGTACAACATTTCAATAACAAGGGGGTCAAAAGGTGAAAAAGGATTACGTGGACAGCAAGGTGTAAAAGGAATTAAAGGAGAAACAGGTTCTGTGGGTCTAAGGGTAAGCATTGAAGTGTTCCACATTCATAATTTTGAGATTTTATTTAAAAAATTGTTTTGATTTAGTACAACAAAAGCAATTCTTTAATAGGGAACTTATGGACCTAATGGACTACAAGGCTACAAAGGAGATCAGGGTGACGACGGACCTCGGGGCAAGCCTGGACACCGAGGACCACAAGGGCCGCCTGGACAAAAAGGCATTAAAGGTGCTCCTGGATATGCGGGACCGGATGGTGCGAATGGTTTAACAGGACCCAGTGGAGAAGATGCAAGACCGGGAAATCCTGGCCCGCAAGGCTTTTCCGGAGAACCTGGAATATTCGATGAGACACTAAACGAACCTTTACTACCAGGTTCGATGGGTCCACAAGGTCCAGTTGGCTTTGTCGGGCCTATGGGAGCACCTGGATTAGACGGTGCAGTTGGCCAGCCTGGCTTAATGGGACCACCAGGGCTACCAGGAGCTAAAGGCCTACCTGGTCCACAAGGTGCTCCAGGTATATCGCCCAAGGGAGAACCCGGAGATGATGGTTTTAAAGGTCTGCCTGGCCCACGTGGCCCTAACGGATATCCAGGAATACAAGGACCTGTTGGTCCTAAAGGTTTTAAAGGAAACACAGTAATTGGGGAACCTGGTGAAGAGGGCACCCCAGGAATAGATGGCATTCCAGGTTTAAGGGGTGACAGGGGTGAACCAGGTGCAATCGGACCAGCAGGATATCCTGGCAGGGGCGTTTACGGTGCTGGACCGCCGGGTGATCGAGGCCCACCCGGAAGACCTGGAATAGCTGGAAGCCCTGGTAATCCGGGTCGTCCTGGATCGCCTGGTCTAAAAGGAGAACATGGAGATGACTGTCCATTTTGTCCTTCGGGTAAATATATATTTTGTGAAAATAATATGAAATTATATTTTCCAATTATATCGGTAGAATTAAGAATTCATAACCATCAACTCATTTTGATTAAAGAAACTAAAATTATAATTATTAGCCTCATCTCTCAAACCACGATTGAAGAATAACATGGTGATACGTGGCAAAAATATCTCTGAAAACGAGCATGTTGTAGTTGTTACTTTACTCTTTACTAACTATAAAGATGAGCTGTCCTTCGGTAGCCGATGTTGCTGTAGTAAAAAACATCTTCTCGCTTTTTTTAATGCTATGATAGTTTTAGAATCCAACATTAGAATGCCTTTTAGGTGACTACGTAAATAAATATCCCACGAAATCTCAATCCCGAAAACCCAATTAACTTAAGAAGGTTACAGGCATAATTCTTGAAATTATGACGCTATAATAAAGAATCTTTCTGCGCAATTAACGCGCACGCTTTTGTTTTTAATATTGATTCATAACCCGCCCCACAGATCTACTTCAGAAACAAATTTTGGTTGCCCTTCCTAAATCATGCATAAATTGGTTGGTAAATTATGCATGCACTCTGGCATGTATCTATATTATTATGCGAATGAATTGGCAGTATGATATTGGCATGCACGATCAAAAGTATCGATCCTTAAAGAGCCAGCGTTAATAGCCCTGACAACCAGCCAGAGTATCTAGAGTTGGAAGTGTGCTCTATGTCTGTCAAAAAGAGTGGGGGCGGGAAATCATAGTTGGCACTTTGCAAAAAACTACCAGAAAAACAAACTGCGTTAGCAACAACCTTTTGTTAATTTTTCTTCGTCATTTTTGTTGTAAAAAAGTAGTTTACGCGTGTTTTGGTGATGATGTACCTCGGTTCCATTACAGGTCTGCCTGGCAGTAAAGGGCAGAAAGGAGACGATGGTTTTACTGGTCGTCAAGGATTCCCAGGTTTTGTTGGCCTACCAGGACCTCGTGGTCAACGTGGAGCTCCAGGGATACCTGGAATAAATGGTCCAAAGGGGCCAAAGGGTAATAAAGGGCTTGCTGGTATGGCAGGACCTCAAGGACCAAAAGGACCTGAAGGACGTTTGAATACACCTGCATATGCCTTAACCGTAGCAGACCGCGGTCCTCGCGGTGAACCAGGTTCGTGTTGACTTATTATATTATTATAATTTCAATGTTATCAAAAACAAAGTGGCTAAAATTATTCAAAATTATTCAGTAGAAAATTTTACTCGTATTGGGGAAAAGTGTTCATTAATAGTGACGTTATTCCAAAAATTCTAACAATTTGCAACAAATTGTAGAACACGAACTTTTTTCAAACTAAAACTTTTCTTATTATTTATTATCCATTTTACCGATCACGATATTATGTAAACAAGAAGATAATTTATTATTGAATATATTAAAGAGATTGATAATTAAAATTTTAACAAATTATTTATTATTATAAAAACTTAGGTTTTATCGGACCACCGGGTTTTCCTGGGGACACTGGTCGACAAGGACCTCACGGAGATTCAGGAATCACTGGATTCAAAGGTGTGCGCGGTGACTTCGGCCAACCCGGAACTCCTGGAAGAAACGGATCCCGTGGAAGGGATGGAGTACCTGGATGGCCCGGAGCTACTCCGGATATTCCGATGGCTTTTCTTTTCGGTGAAAAAGGAGATATGGGTTTAACGTAGGTTTCCTTATCGACAAATTTACCTGAGATCGTTACTGTTTTTTTTGCACTTTTCCACCGCTTCATACATATAAAGTGAGTACCGTCGGTCACCTTGAATAATCAGATCGGAGCCATAGAGAAAATAAATAATAAATTGTAACAATGATAATAAGTACTTCACTTATATTATAACTGAAATTATTACAATGTAAAAGGAAAAACACAGAAAACTTTGAAAATACCGTAGCATCAAAAGTTAGGTACTTGACAACCAGACTACCGTTTTCAAACAAGAAAGTTCTGAAAAATAGTATATTTTAACCCTGTAGGTGTTCTGCCGGGTACTAATAATATTCAAGATATCTATTATTCGGCTCGCTGACCGAGGGAATCGGTAGTCGTGACGCTGGCGGCCGCCGTTCCGGCGTCTGTGGGACGGCAGGATGGATGTAATGTGCTCTGCGTCAACCCTGTCCCGCCGTCTCAATAGCCCCGACTGGGCTCCGGCCCGGTCCGGGGTAGGGCGCCAGTTGTGAGCGGCAGGAGTTTTTAATGAGGTTCAACTCCCACATACCCCACTGCCGCGCGGGTGGGGTATGTGGGAGTGTATCATAAAATTTGAAACCAATTGAAATGTAAATACCTTTTTTTTTTCTCATCGGAAAACCTTGTAGGTTTGAACTTCAAACATTAACAAATAAAAAAGAAATTGTTGGCTTTCTAGCTCATTAATTTATTTTGACAGATATTTGATATACTGTATTATATTTTATTAAAATTTTCAATATACTGTTAAGCATGTAAAGCCAATCCGAATGTTATACACGAATCCAAATACACTCTTTGGATATACATAAATATTAAACTTAACGTAATGTATTTTCAGTGGCGAAGAAGGAGATAAGGGAGAAATTGGCCCACCTGGAGAAACTGGAGAATCACTGATTGATGGCATTTATGCTAAAGGAGAAAAAGGATATCCAGGATACCCTGGCTTCAATGGTAATATTAAATAGGACAGAATGTTAATTATAAAAAAAGAAACATGTGTGCAATTCACACGTGTTAGAAGTGAAACCTTCAAAAATTAAAATACAATTATCCTAAATGTCTAAGTATATGTAAAATTTTGTCATTAGTAAATAATTGTAAATCATCTTTTATAGTATGTGGTAGTGCCCTCTGTGAATCGATATTTTAACGTCACATATAATCCTAAATTGAAATTCACTACAAGAGGTTTCATACGCACGTTAGTATTAAAAAATCTCATAGATGGGGCTGTATTAAAAATTTTCGACACTTCCGTTGCATACCTGCGTGACGTTACATCTGTAAAAATTTTACCCTCATGCGCCTAAAGAAGTTTCACTTCAAAAAGGAGTGTACACTGGGTAGACCATTATAAGCCCGGGTAGCTACACATTAAATAAAGGAATAATTTGTATTGGATTTATAAAAAAATCACAAAAATATTTATTCTTTAAGGTGTACCCGGGAGAAAAGGTATTCGAGGGGATCAGGGTTCAGATGGGTACCCAGGTATGGGAGGTGATATTGGAATACAGGGTACATCACAACAAGGACCAAAGGGCTTCAAAGGATTTAGTGGAGAAAAAGGTAGCATTGGGCCATACGGTGATCCAGGTAGTCCTGGTTACCGGGGACCCTTTGGCAGCGATGGTCAAAAAGGACAAAAAGGTATGCGTGGTGACGGTGGCTACGCAACTTTGCCAGGAGAAAGAGGATCAAACGGAATAAACGGAGAACGAGGCGATAATGGAGAGCCTGGTTATCCTGGGACTCCCGGAAGATCTGGAGTTATAGGTCAGAAAGGCGTAACTGGAGCGCCTGGAGATATAGGACCTGATGGACCACCTGGACCTCGGGTTAGTTAATTTTTAAATAACTGTTTTGAGGCGTTATCTTAAGTGAATCAATTTATTACTAAGTAGTTTGACCTAAATACACAAGCCCCAATTATCATGATTTGTCATCATTGTTTGAGATGATAGCGTCACTCTTTTTTACTACCTCGCCATCCGACAACGGAGCAGGTTTCATGTCTTATATAAAGTCGAGCATATGTTGCATCTCATAGTGGTGGATAGTCACCGCTCCATTTCAATAGGGTTATGTCAACGTACAGAAACATCGTGGAGGATGCTTCAATAGCAGGATAGTTACAAAATTTATATGATTCTTTAAACGCACTGTGGATGATCCAGTAGTGACTCCAATAGAAGTTTCAAGTAGGAAGATTCAACTCCGGTGGCCGGTGGTACTTTGGTATAAAGGAAATAATGACTTTATCTCGAAAAATTCTCCAGAGAACTCCTCATCGAATACGGTATAAAGTAATAGTGTAAACGAAAATCTCTTCATCGTTTTCAAGCACATATCTCAAGGTGAACGACAAACCCGTTAAATTAAACCTGCACATTATCAGACTAGTGACTAGTGATACTACACAATGAAGCGCCAAACCCTGTCATGTAGGTATAAGTAACCTTCATCTTAGGTGGACGGAAATCCTTGTCCTACAACGTGACTAGGTAATTAATGAATTTGGCGACCTAACTAATGTTATTTTATTATTAAAAAAACTCTGTAATCTTATTATATATTGAAACTAAAAAAATATATCATTAACAGGGACGAAAAGGTTTCCCCGGGATAATAATACAAGGTGCACCTGGACTACCTGGACGTCCAGGATCACCTGGTCCGATGGGACCTATTGGTGCACAAGGCTTACAAGGAAGTAACGGCCTACAAGGTTTTACAGGACCTAAAGGAATGAAAGGAAACTCAGGAAGATATGGGCGTCGCGGTGAGCCTGGTGTACCTGGGTCGATAGGGTTCACTGGATTTTCTGGATTAATGGGATTACCTGGAGCCAGTGGAAAGCCAGGAGAGCGAGGTGATAAAGGTGCTCCTGGTTTTAATGGAGAGCCTGGTCAAGATGGTTTAGTAGGGCCTCTAGGACCTAAAGGCTATATAGGTAACCCAGGCTTAACAGGAAAACCAGGTATTCCAGGCTTACCAGGAGGAAAGGGAGAACGTGGAATTTATGGTTATCAAGGACCAAAAGGAGACCGAGGAGATAACGCGGTTTCTGGATCAAAAGGAGAACCCGGTGAACATGGCATAAATGGTTATACAGGGAGAGATGGAATACCCGGACAAAAAGGAGTTAAGGGTCCTCAAGGAATGCCTGGTTTAAGCATACGAGGTCCGCCTGGTACTAAAGGTGATAAAGGAGATACAGGTTTCTCAGGGACACCTGGTTTCCAAGGACCAAGAGGTGCTATAGGTGACAAAGGTTTCCCTGGGCAAACAGGAGAACCAGGTGAAAAAGGTTTGCCGGGTACTGATGGATTCGCAGGTAAAAATGGATTAATTGGTACGAAAGGACAGCAGGGTCTATATGGAGCATCAGGTAGAAAGGGTGACCGTGGCGACAGAGGAATGGATGGTGAGCCTGGACGAATCGGCATTCCGGGATTACCTGGTAATAAAGGTTTTCAAGGACCACAAGGACGTATAGGCCCCACAGGAATCAAGGGTGATCGCGGTGATATTGGTAGAACCATTTATCTACCAGCTACTAAAGGAGACATTGGTGATATTGGGTTCCCCGGCCTTCCTGGTAATCCAGGAGAATATGGAGACCCTGGATATACTGGACATATTGGTAGAAAAGGAGAGCAGGGTGATGTTGGAATCAAAGGAATGGTCGGCAACGAGGGTCTTCCAGGTTTCATTGGAGAAAGAGGTGACCAAGGACCTCGTGGTTTACCTGGTCGAAACGGTGAATTTCCTGAAAGAGGCGAACAAGGTAAAGCAGGAATTGACGGATTACCAGGATGGCCTGGTCCCATGGGTCAAAAAGGAGCTCCAGGAGAATATGGAGTAGATGGTCCTGAAGGCACACCAGGTCAACCGGGATTAACATATGAAGGAGCGAAAGGTGATCGTGGTATGCCTGGTTTTACGGGACGCCGAGGATACCTAGGGATACCAGGACCGCGGGGGATGGAGGGACATCCTGGATTAAAAGGTGAAAAAGGAAATGCAGGTGAAATAGGTTTTGCCATTAGTCCCAAGGGCCAACCTGGATATCCGGGTTTGGCTGGTTACAATGGATTAAAAGGTGAAAAAGGTACAATCGGAGAAACTGGAAGAATTGGAATTTACGGAGAACAAGGCTTAGTCGGGGTCAAAGGAGAGACAGGCGACGAAGGTGAAGCTGGATTCATCGGACCCCCCGGTCTACAAGGAATAGAAGGAGACAAAGGAGATACTCTGCTTCCATCAGATATTTTACCTGGACAACCTGGTGATGTTGGATTGCCAGGATTTGATGGACGGGATGGTGTAGCAGGAATCCCAGGGTCTTTTGGTCGAAATGGTTACCTGGGTGTCAAAGGGCAAAGGGGAGAAATAGGATTACAAGGTCCTCCTGGAGAACCAGGCCCTCAAGGGCTACAAGGTATCAAAGGTAAACGAGGGCTTAAAGGTTTCGTTGGATTGCATGGCAGCGTCGGTCGTCCCGGTCCACCAGCACCTCCACCTCCAATACCCAAATCTAGAGGATTTTATTTCACGGTTCATTCACAAACAAGATTGATACCGAAATGTCCATCTGGAACATCACCGCTTTGGGAAGGCTTTTCGTTAATTCATATAATCGCTAATGGAAAAGCTCACGGTCAAGATCTCGGTAAGTAATTGATGCCTTTTATTTCACTAAAGCTGAAATTTATTTTAATCTTTTTTTTTCCTATATAAAAAAAACATCAATTTTATGTCATAGTTTAAGTCATACTTATTTAGTCAGACCACTGAAGTATCAAACCGAAGTCAGACCCATTCGTTAAGTCATCATGTATATGTTATCCTCCATACTGCACATACACTTTAAATTTGTTGTTATAGTGATAATCACCAGCAAAACTCTTACCATCTAACTAATTTTGTTAAAAAACAAAATTTCCCAAGGGCGTTCAAAAAAGGAACTTACCATATGGTGTTGTGTTTTTAATACAGGCGCTCCAGGTAGTTGTCTCCGTAAATTCTCCACAATGCCGTATTTGTTTTGCAATCTAAATAATGTTTGCGACTTTGCCCAACGAGAAGACTACAGCTTTTGGCTATCTACTCCAGAACCAATGCCCATGGCAATGACGCCGATTCAAGCCAGAGACGTCGGCACATATATTTCTCGGTAAATATAAAATTTTACGCTTTGTAACGATTCTATAGACTTTTAGCTACGAATATAACGGCTATTGAAATATAATATTATGTACATATATTTTTAACTCAGATGTCAAGTATGCGAAGCTCCAACTAGGACAATCGCTATACACAGTCAGAGCAGTGAGGTGCCGACATGTCCAGATAAATGGAAGGAGTTGTGGGTGGGCTACAGCTTTTTAATGGTAAGTTAAGATGCTTTTCTCGTAGCAACAGCAATGTATATTACACATTTTCCTATTAAATCGTACTGTACGTACATATTACGATAGGTAATGAGGTACATATTTAATAAACGTGTATTAAAACCTTTTTGTACATGTTTTTTTCGTGTTTAGCATACCGCGGGCGCAGACGCATCAGGACAGAGCCTCATCTCACCTGGTTCATGCTTACGAGAGTTCAGGACACGACCGTTCATTGAATGTAATGGTCTCGGACGTTGTAACTATTTCGCTACTGCTGTCTCATACTGGCTGTCTACAATAAACGACAACTGGATGTTCCAAAAACCCATACAGGAAACATTAAAAACTGATAAAGACTCAAGAGTCAGCAGGTAAAGTATTTATAATATATAGAACTATAAAGCATAAGGAATTTAAAAACGACCTTGAAATATAACGCTCATTCATTCGTAATAGTGGCATCACTGCTTTGGTATTGGTATACGCGCGGTAAGCAGTGACTTAGAGCTACTAACTAATGTCTATCAGCGACAGTGACCATTCACTATCAGGTGTATACATTGGCAATATATATTTATTCTAGAACATTACTTACTGGGCTTGACGTCTAATTTTTTACAATTTGTTTGCAGATGTACGGTGTGCATGAGACAATGGGCATCTCAGACGTATAGCACCGCAACGAGAACCGGTGATGTTAGCTTTGTACCCAACGCCCAACGACGACCTTTCCGTGGGCCAAGCCCTACAGGCAGAGTACCACGGTGGCACCGCAGAGGTTATCGTGTCGCCTCGCGGAAGGTACCTTCGTTTAACAAACATTAACTATCTTTGAGATAGAGTAAATTTAATTATTTTTTTCATATTTCATGTAAAACAATGTTCTAATTTATCTATGACACAATACAAGTGTGTTACTGATACCGATTGAAATCACTGCCTTTTAAGTTGAACATGTAAAATTTTATAATGTTATTTTTTACTAAGTACTCGTTGTTTTGACCTAATAAGTATCTGCACCCGATTAATTATAATTTAATTATGTACTTTTACTAAATAACTAATTATAGTTATTCGAATATACCTAATACTGTTAGAAAATATTTTGAAACGGTGTTTGTTTAAAATTACAAAGAACGAAATAGCCAATAAATGTAGTTTAATTATGAACTGCCTTATGGAATAAATAGCCAATGCAAGGCTACTAGCTATTATTCTTTTAAGGACACATTATTGTAAATAATAGTATTTAGCTACTTGTATGAACTTCAATAAATCGAGTTATACAGAATGTTTACTTTCTTTTCCTAAAAACAACTATTGCACCATTAATAGTTTTATTTTAACACATGCCTAATTTTTATCTACACTTATTTGTAATTCATATAAAACTATTCATATTTTTATAAAACTGGTGAATCCCTGTCACGTTTCGCTTCGTCATCGCTAAATGTTTGAAATACTCGTCTGCCTACAAGGGCAATAAAAAAAAAAAAAAAAAAAATACCTCTTTCCTATAAACGGCTCGCTGCTTACGTTGATGTTATAATGAAAATTACCTCAAGCACTGATGACAAATGTACGAAGTACTAACTCCAGGGAGCAAACGGTCTTCGAGTCCATACAACTACATCCACTTTTAAGTATCTATATGATATGGTTAACCATTAAATAAATTCGAAACTCCAAAAATTTGCAAAAAATGCAAAGTCCGAGCAGTACTGGCCTTAGAGTAGGGCGCGGTTGGGCGACCGCCCATGGTGCGACACATACAGTACCGTTACCAGACCAGACCGGATAGCAAATTTTTAATAAACTGCTATTTCTATTAACTAATGGTTATTACTTTACATCTGTTGTCTGTATTTATGGGTTAGAATTTCAGTTAGAGGTCGCCGTAGAAATCTCTACCCAAGATGCTTAGTACTATAAGCGGCAAAGCCCGGGATTAATGTTAATAAAAGTAAAACTGCGGTATTGATACATATTTTTATGAATGTCGCTGGCCACACATCAAACCAGTCGATTTAGTAATAATAATCACATTTTATATTATTTCACCAAATTATGTTACCTAAATGATTCATAATGATAATAATGTACCTAAAGGTAAAGGTAAAATATTTAATCAATATCTCAACTATTCCGTTAAAAAAATCAGTGAAACTGTAACAGAGCCAACAAAAAGTGTATTTTATCGCTTAGTTCTGCCGAATTCTTACACACGTATAAAAAAAGAAGGCGAAATCATTTGAATTATATAATTTTTGTTTCTCCTACCAAATTGTTGGTAGCCTAAGCGGTTATTCGAACTACGCGCGGACTGGTAGGTGAGCTCACGGGCTCACCTGAGAAAAATGCTAACACTACCCTTAACAAGAGCAGCACTGAGAAGATCCGGCGAGAAACTCAGTGGGTTGTGTCTATGGGATTATTTGACTGACTCGGTGGTATAGTTGCACCGAGGGTCTGCACGACTGTTGCGCCGAAGGTCGTGGATCCGATTCCCACAGTGGGCAAACATTCGAGTGATGAACACGTTTGTATGTTCTTTGTCTGGGTGTTTATTATCTATATATGTATGTATATTTTTCAACATACAGTGGTGGTAATTTAATTAAAAACACTTCCTATGATTAAAGAAAGTACAACTTCAACGTAACGTAACGTTCGTAAAAATATACACATTCAATATAGCCACTCAAATAAAAAACTTATTAAATGTATAAAATATAAAACATATCTTACTTTTAATTACAAAATGAGTCTTCCACAAGTATGGAAACGTTTTAAAGAAGCATCCCAGCTCGTTCTTTTTTTGAAAGTGGATTGGCTTTTTTTCTTTCTTGGCTTTATCTATTATTTTGGCGGCCATTCAAAATTTAATCTGAATTTTATTTTGTTCAAATATGGACAACAATAAAAGTTGTGACGCGTTAACTAGGCTAATAATTTAACATAACAACGACCCTAAACACACGGCCAGTAAAATGTTTCCTTAGCGAACAGCGTATATCCATTTTAGACTAGCCAGCAAATATTCCGGATTTAAGCCCGATAGAAAATCTCTGGTATATTATTAAAAAGAAAGTCTCAAACAAACGTCTTCTTTGTAGTCGTACACTCTTGACAGAGTGCACGTGGTCATGCATTAGTCGGATCCTGCGATACCGATGCTCTCGCGATGCCACGCCATGTGGCACGGTGTTTAGCAAACGTTTGTGTGCACGGTGTTTGTTTCGTGAGAGCAATCATTTATGAGGTTAGTCCATCGTGTTGGAGATCGTCCGGAAATCTTTTGCCCTCGACTTTCCCTTGTACCACCAACCGCTCAATGGAATCCTCATTACGAGTGATGTGCCCGAAGAACTTGAGAATACGTATTTGGATTGCTGACGATAGTCTCTCCTTGATGTTGAGGTCTTTCAGGATCGAATCTTTGGTACGGTACGCGGTCCACGGAATTCTGACTTTTTTTTTCTACCTTAGCTGATGGTCTGTGTCTGTGGGTTAATTTACTCGCCGAAACCTTCGTCACATAGGTAGTTTTCCAATTACAGAGCATAATGCGAGTCAGTGACGCACAATGCCGAATTACGCTGAAGCTTAATTGGGACGTGAATTACTTTTCAAATGCATCAGCAGAGTGCGCTAAGTTAGCACAGTTTTAATTAATATTGATTATTTCTAAGAAACTACGACTAAACGAAAGCCTTACAATTTTTTTCAACATTAAATAATATTACTAACGGTAAAATAAACAAAATTTCGATCAATGCCAACTTAAAGAAAAAACACTTGTCAATTTTATGTCACTGAGTCGGTATCGATTGCGAATACCACGCGAGAGCAGTACTTTTGAGAGTGGTCGATTGTGCGAAGCGTTGCTGTAGTTGGAACATTCAACGTTGAGCATTATGCCGCATAATGCGCTCTTGTGCTGTAATTGGAAAACTACTCTTATTTCTAAGGGACAATTTACTTCGCTTGCAAATCATTGGATAGAGGCGTCCTAGTATGAACGCGGCTCGGTCGCGTACAGTCTTTATGTGGGGGCGGAATGGCCTCCCTTTGTCGAAGGTGACGCCTAAGTATTTGACCTTCGGGGCCCACGGTATGGGTTAGTCGTACATGATAATGGGCGAATAGCGGAGGTGTTTACGCGCCTATTCGAAAGTGGGATGCTCGAAGTGGTCGGAATTCTAAGGAGACGTCTCAAACACCACATTTCCAGTGCGTCAAGCTTACGTAACACCAGTCAAAACGAACTAATAAGTGCATTTATGAAGGATTTGTTGAAGCATGAAATTCAATTCCCCTAGAAAAATGTATGAAATTGATTGGATCAATGCCACGTCGTTGCAGTGCTGTTATCTATACATATAAATAAAATTAGAGTATCTGTTTGTAGTATTGAAATAACCGCTTTTTACTACATGCATAATATGAATAATAATATATATACGGTACATGCACCAAAACAATTTTTTTACAATTTTTGTCTGTCTGTCTGTTTGTTCCGGCTAATCTCTAGAACGGTTGGACCGATTTTGATGAGACTTTCACTAATAGATAGCTGATGATATAAGGAGTAACTTAGGCTACTTTTTTTTAGAATATCTTCGCCCCGCAGCGTCACCCGCAGTTATTGTCGTACCACGCGCAACATAGCGGGCTTCGCCTATCAATAGTAAAATTTAATGTTTCCGAAGCGAAGCGAGGGCGGGTCGCTAGTTGAAAATAAGGAATACGCCACTAAATAATAATTATAACTATTGGTAGACTGTGGATAGTACCAATTTCGTAAATAACAATACTAATTACTAATACTTAAAAAAATATTGTTTTTTATACTTTTATTTATTGATTTATTTATTTATTTATAGCTTCTTATACTAGAAAGTATAAAGGCGGACTTAATGCCATAGGCATTCTCTAACAGTCTACCTTAGGGGAGTGCAGAGATGAACCTTGGTAGGTGTAGTATGAAGGTGATATTACCTAAACATATGTGTATATATAACATACCTACATAATATTTATAGATACAAATACTTGTACTTAAATAAATACATATACATAAATATATACATATACATATCATAAATATATACATATATAAACAAATACTATCAATTAGATGTAGATCTACTTTTGTGTTGTTGTTTGCGGTAGGCAGCGGCTTGACTCTGCCCCTGGCATTGCTGAAGTCCATGGGCGACGGTAACCACTCACCATCAGGTGGGCGGTATGCTCGTCTGCCTACAAGAGCAATAAAAAAAAAAAAATGTTGGTTGACCATTATTGTTCATACCTTAAAACTCATTTAAATGTTTGTCGGTAATGAAATATTGAAACTGCACTTGTGTAGTGGGATTTATATTATTTTTCTAACACCGGTCACTCACATGCGCACGAATACGCGAATCCACAAGTGTAGGACGACATTTGCGAATGGCAAAGTTTTCGCTGCATTCGTGGTTTTCCAAGCTGTGTCGGTTTTTTAACAGAAATCAAAGCGCGCGAACCTCGAACCTTCGCGTAGTCTCCCACACATTCGCTTGCCCAGTTGCGCCGACGATTGCGAAGGTAACGGACGTATACTATACGCCATTTTCATAGTTCGTGACGTCTACTGTGTAGCGTATCTTCATCAAAAGAAATCCCATAAAAACAGCATGGCTGTTAATGATATCTGGGAAAGAATTAAAAACTCTTTCTCTTCAATGTTCTATTGATGAATTAAAAAGGAGGAGAAATTCGTGAGACATTCGTAAACAAGTGTAGGAGGAAGCGCAAACGAGTTCGCAAATTGAGTATGCGAACCCATTTGCACAGCCGCTAGGTTTGCGAATGAATGTTTGACGGCCCTTCACATGCGCGCAAACATTCGTACAATGTACGAATATTTGCGCGCATGTAAGTGGCCGGCATAATAAACGATAAATCGTTGAACATATTGTTGTCCTATTTATTGTTTAATTTCAAAATAAAAACGATTGCGGTGAAGTGTCTTACATAATGTCAAGGATCGTTGGTAGTGTTTCTAATTATACGACCACCACTGTATGTAAGTATGTTTATCGGTGTCTGTTACCCATAACACAGGGGATCCTAAATTGGGGCCAGATGACCGTGCACAATTTGTTACCAGTTATTATTATTATATTATTTAACACATAATTAAGCATGTAACATAAATTAACTAGTAACTTTATTAAGTGATTTTAAAAAGATTATCGAGTTCTCTAAGAATGATTTTTTAGTGATATAATAATCAATCTTACACTCTTGGCCACAAACAACACTTCAAAGTTGAAAAATTAAGTTGTTCACGTTCAGTTGTGGAATGAATGTTCACCCAGATGCCTTGATCGACTAACATTCCCGTTTTGTTTTTAGATCAGATAATAAAACTAAAGGTTAAGGAAATTAATAAGAAATGCTCAATATTTAAAGTAAAAGTTATTTATTCTATTGTCCTGGCTACAGAATCTAAGTGCTTCAACTTATGATCATCTAGATTGGGCATAACCTCATATGAGCATAAGGTAACACCATGCCTATGACTAGGTGTCCATTCTCCTTTTAATCCAATGTAATAAATTTTTGTTGTTTCTGCCCCAAAGTTCTTTGGAAAGTGCATTGTTAGATGTGATACTGATGAAAATGTAACAATCCTGAAATCAAATTGAAATAGCAGACTAAATAAACTATATGGCAAACTGGATGACCGCAGAAGTTGTGATGGTCCGAAACATAGATGGTTAATGGTGTAGAGCAAGAAATTAAGAATTAATTAAATTGTTAAGAACTGGAAGGAGAAAGTCATGAATAGAGGAGTCTGGAAATATACCGTAGGCTGCAACGTTAAAGATGATGATGATGTAAATTTTGCAATAAAAATAAAAAAAATATATTCAGAAATGGCTATAACGTTTACGTAGCACTGCCACGGTTTTTCATGCTTTGATTACCACAGGTTAATGTCGTATGTCCTGCTATGAAGCCAAAAAATTGCTGTTCAGTGACAATGATTGCAGAAAAAATCTTCAAAGGACTTCTTTGGAGCATGTCTATAAGATTTAGTTCAGAGTGCATGAGAGTGAATTATTGGTCTATTTTTAGTCGATAATGGTAAATTACTAGTACTAGGTGCTAGTGTCACTAGTAACATAACCAGATGGTTACAATACTTTCAAACTGTCATAGTGTTGATCAAAATTAATTAATTAACCCGCTGTCGTATGAATGAACTTCCTGAAGTTGTAGCTCACTAGCTCCAATGGTATGGTGGACCATTCAGCACCATTTAGCGATGTCACTCTAATAGAGTGCAGTGCTGTAGCGATAGGGGTAAAATTTCTTCTCTCATTAAATTACTTCACTGTATGATATATACAGATGTATTAATTAACTGCTCTTGTTTTAAAACTTTAAATTGATGCTACAAAATTTCAAAACTAAGGTACGTAGCACGAATCATTTGTTTTTAATTTATTTTTTCTAATCATCTAATTCAGCTCAGCTCAGCAACTAAATTTTTAGTGCAGAATCTTTTCAAACTAAGAACAAGAATATACAAAATATCCTTGAATAGCATTGATGTGTATTATAACTATAATACAAAACAAATTTAATGCCCCTAATAGATTTTTTCAAGCATGATATTCCATTTTGTATATTTTATGCCCTTATTACCATCAACAACAGAGGGTTGATAGGACTTCTTGAAGGAAATAGAAAGCCAACTAAGTTTTGGCCTTATATATATTCTATTTTTCTTAAATTTTCTATATATATATATATATTTTTTTTTATTGCTTAAATGGGTCGACGAGCTCACAGCCCACCTGGTGTTAAGTGGTTACTGGAGCCCATAGACATCCACAACGTAAATGCGCCACCCACCTTGAGATAAAAGTTCTAAGGTCTCAAGTATAGTTACAACGGCTGCCCCACCCTTCAAACCGAAACGCATTACTGCTTCACGGCAGAAATAGACAGGCTGGTGCTACCTACACGCGCGGACTCACAAGAGGTCCTACCATCAGTAATTACGCAAATTATAATTTTGCGGGTTTGATTTTTATTACACGATGTTATTCCTTCACCGTGGAAGCCAATTGTGAACATTTGTTGAGTACGTATTCCATTAGAAAAATTGGTATCCACCTGAGATTCGAACACTGGTGCATCGCTCAACACGAATGCACCGGACGTCTTATCCGTTAGGCCGCGACGATTTCAAATTATGTATTCTGTATTTATCTACTTAATTATAAATAACATCAAGAATAATGCTTGAGTAAATAATGCGAAACTATATCCACATCACTTCAAAAACAGATAATATTTTTACAACAAACTATTGGCTAGGTCCTAATTGTTTTAAGTTTTATGTTTCACACTTACTTTGGACAGTATTCAAGTATTCCATCTGTATCCTTTTGTAGCTCAAATACTTGATCAGGTTCAATCATAACATCATCAAAAGTCATATTTGGCCTGTTTTTAAACCTAAAAATCCAATTATGCAATATATTAGAAATATCAACTTATGTATTTATAGATACAAATTAGTTTTGGCATCAATGGTAATTAATAATAATGCTATTTTCTATTCCTTTAGATTTAATATTTTGAGAGACATATGCTCGTTCTGCCTACAAGGGTAATAAAAAAAACTCCTGATTTAATTATATTTCTATGCACTTACAATCTTAATTTTGATGGATGTGAATCTGTATCTTCTGATGCAACCTTTATTCCTTTAAGTTTTATATTTCCAGTGAATGGTATATTAAACAACAGTTCTTCATCAGCATCACTTTCAACAAACTGGAAAATATCACTATCAATCAATAAAGTCATGTTATTAAAAAAAAAACAATATGTGCATTTTTACTTGCTTTGCTTCTATCCAATCTTTTGTCCCAAGGTTTAAAAACACTTTTACCCGAACCCTCAAGGGATTCGTTCAAACATTCCAAGTGGTCCAAATCAATCTTTTCATGAAGATTGTATTGTATACCAATATCTTCAACACTACCGTGATCATGGTCATGGTTACAATGATGATGAGACATTTTAGTAAGAATTTCTTAAATAAACTTTAGGATGTTAAATTTTACGATTATCCCAAAATACCATCGACAGCTGTGTGTTTTATGTTTTACTTGTTTTGAACTTATATAAATTACACCACAATTTGGCGATTTTTTATTTTTGAAACAATAAGTAGGCGCCGTATATACACATATTAATTCTTTTTTTAGGGGATTTTATGGACCTAAAGGTCTTAATTACCGGGTCATAATTTATGACCCGGTATTTAGACCTTTAGGTCAAGTATTATTTTAATTTATATTCTTATTTTTATAAAAAATTATAATATGGAGTGAAATGAAATGAAGATGATTAATTTGAGACACTAATCAACTGGGATGAAATTAAATGAAATGAAATAAGATGAGATGGAATGAAATATAATCTCAGTAAAATGGTGGTCATTTACTGAGATTTTTTCAGTGGACTTTTTGGAGGATCCCGAGAAGTTACGTCCAGCGGCTTTGTTTCATTTTCTCACATTTGTGCACTTTGACAAATATTAAACAGTTAACTTCTTCCTATTCGTACACTCTTGACAGAGTGGTCGTGGTCATGCATCAGTCGGATCCTGCGATACCCATGCTCTCGCGATGCGACGCCATGTGGCACGATGTTTCGCAGAGTGAGAGCAATCATTTATGTTTGTGTGAGTCACAGTTTTTATGAGGTCGGTCCATCGTGTTGGAGATCGTCCGCGAGATCTTTTGCCCTCGACTTTTCCTTGCATCACCAACCGTTCAATAGAGTCCTCATTTCGAGTGATGTGCCCGAAGAACTTGAGGATTCGTATTTGGACTGTTGACGATAGTCTCTCCTTGATGTTGAGCTCTTTCAGGATCGAAATGTTGGTACGGTGCGCGGTCCACGGAATTCTGAGGAGACGTCTCCAACACCACATTTCCAGTGCGTCAATCTTACGACAGTCTTGCATCCTCAGCGTCCACGTCTCAACCCCATACAGAAATATTGGAAAGACCAGGCATCTCATTAACCGAACTTTTGTGTTTTTGGTTATACTACGGTCTCTCCAAATCTTTGTTAGCCTCTCAACTGAGGATCTTGTCACGGCGCAACGTCTTCGGATCTCATCTTCGCAGCCTCCAGCGTTGGTGAGAGTGGAACCTAGATATACATAGCTATTTAGTGCCTCGCATCCCGCTATATGTTGGACTTCCGGTTGGTTGATGTTAGCCCGATCTACGATCATCATTTTGGTCTTATCACGATTGATCGCAAGTCCAAAATCCAACGCTGTGGTCTCCAACCGGCGAAGCAGCACCTCGATTTCGTCTCTGGTTGACGCCAAGAGGGTAGTATCATCGGCGTATCTCAAGTTTGATATTTTCCGACCACCAACGGATATTCCTTTATCCCAATCTTCAAGAACTATCCGCGTTATATACTCTGTGTATATATTAAATAAAAGAGGAGATAGTATGCAGCCCTGCCCAACGGCTGCCTGTGTGCTGAAGCGTTCGGAGTCAATACTGTCAACACGAACAGCGGCCGTGCCATCTTCGTACAGACGTCTGAAGGTGTGTACAAGATGTTGCGGTACACCCATTTCCGTCAGTACCAACCACAGCTTCCACTACTTGACGGTATCAAAAGCCTTTCGGAAATCCACGAAGCAGTTAACAAACCACCGTTATTACACATTTAAACCTGAAGAAACACTAAATAGACAAAATAAAACAAATCACACAACTTCACTCATCGCGCTCCCGCCAAAAAGTCTTATTACATTCTGTCGAAATACAAAGATATATAATATTACGTCTACCGTCTAGTAACTAGTACCTACTTGATATGTTATTACACAATAATATGGTTAATTTTTTTATTAAAAAAATATATTTAAATATTGTTTACATAGTTTAGAAGGTTTTCCTATTGAGTTTTTATGAGCCTTCTTTGAAATGTGACAAACTTCTCATGTAAATTTTCAATATTTAGTTACATTTTACTCTAAAGGTATTAGGATAAAATTTATTAAATTACCGATTCGTTTATTTTGAAATAAGAGCAGGTGTATGTAATTCAGAACTGCTCATTTGGAAAATTCCAGACTAACCGGTCGTCCATTAATTACAATTTCATCCTCAAAAAATCGATTTTAATAAATGAAAAGGACATATTCATTGTTGTCCATAATAATATTTTCAGGTGGTCTACTCGCTCTACCAATTGCATGGGTTTCGGAATAAAGTATTTTTATGTTGTATTAAACCAAAAAATCAAAAAAGAACCGTAAATGACAGTATCACAAAACAAGTTACAAAACGCCAAATGGGGTGACACTGCTGATCATAGATTATACACTTAATATATTCGACTGCTGATTACATTCTCTTTGATAATCAAAAAATGTCATTTAAAAAATAAAAATAAAGAGGCACTCAAACAGTGGTTTCTAAAATTTCTTAAGCCAATAAGTAGATTTGTATTTCGTTTTGTTTCTGTTCATTACAAAATTTAAAACATTCGGCCGCCTAAAAATAAATATTCTGTAGTAAAGAGGAATAACCATTGCGAAAGCAACGATCTTCACCCATTTATCTACTAAATTCGGTTAGAAAAGATATCAGTATGTCAAACAATATGTTTTACCTAAACGCGATGTTACTCGTTTGTACTTTATTATTTACACTAACTCATATCAATGCTGATAGTGATGAAGGCAGCATTAGTAAAATTGGTTCAAGTGTCGGGCATACAATGAATATCTATTACTGGTAAGTTATGGGTATGTAACATACCATTTAAGATAGGAAAGCATACCAAATAATTTACTAAAATTTTCAGTTATTCTTGTGGCTACAAAAAGGTATTTGAAGACTATGCAGGAATTATACAACAAAAATACCCAGAGATTTCTGTCATTGGAGCTAACTATGACCCACCTGGTTTTAACATGTATCTATCACGAATTATTGTAAGTATTAATGGATATATTACCTTATTTTCTTCTTTGTTTTCACTACACTGTGAACACTCTGCAATCATTGCGCCTGGCATCTTGATCTGCCCATCAGCGATTGTCAATTATACAGCTTGCCCCTTCAGCTTGTCTACTCTTAGAGTTATTTCGTTTTTTTGTCAAATAACTTATTTCTAAAAAACCTTCTGAAAACCCATCTATTTTAATTTTATTATTGTATATTATTAGTGAGTGAACTCACCCAACTGTGTTAAGTCTACTTAACTGTGATGATTTTTTTTTCCCTATCTATTCGTTGGTAGCCTAAGAGGCTATTACAGCTACACCTGGTTAGGTGAGCTCACTGGCTCAATAGAATTTGCTAACACTAGCCCTAGCAAGATTAGTGCTTAAAATCTACCACCGGAATGGAATTGTGACCCACTGTGAAGATCCGGCAAGAGACTGAGTGAGCTGTGTCTATGGGTTAGTTCGCTGGTGCTTGAGAGGCCTAAAAGCACTGAGAGTGTATCCGATCCAACAAGACATGTCTTGGACAGCGGTGGCTTTATGTTGCCCTGTCGCAGTCGGATAAGTGGCTGTGATGTCTACATCACAATATGTAATCTACAACCCACCATCAGACATGGGGTCGACTCAATTATATTGTATTGGGTGTCTCACCCCTCAAATCTGAATCCATGCTGACATAACTGCTTCTTGGCCCAAAAAGCTAGATTGTATTATAGGCCACTACTGCCCACTATAAAATTTAGCCTGAATATAAAGTGATAAATCAACTGCACATATAAATTTGTAATTTGGTTGTTTGGGCAAGAAAACTGATTACAAAAATATTATAAGCTGTATTACAGATTTAATGAAACAAGATGAAATGTAGACTGTTATTAATAATTATTTTTCAGGGTTTTGGCAAAATGTTGGTCATCATGTGTATACTCAGCGGTGTGAATATTTTTGCTTGGTTGAACAAACCACAACCTGCTTGGTGGAGTTGGTGCCTTGAAAACAAGCTGTATGCATGCATGATGATGTTCTTTTTAGCAAATATGATTGAAGGACAGCTAATATCCTCTGGAGCTTTTGAGATATCTCTTAACAACATTCCACTTTGGTCCAAAATAGAGACTGGAAGAATCCCACAACCATCTGAATTGTTTCAAATAATAGATAATACCCTGCAGTTTTCTAAAATGGACCTCCCAAAAAACCTTTTTGTACAATCCTAAAAATATAATTACAGGATATGTATTTAAGATGATTAAGTTTTAATATAATTATAAATATAATGTACACATGGAATTATTATTGTTTGTACAAGTTTCCTATAATTTTGAAATTGGGGTGCATGGTTAGATTTAGCAAAATTTCTAGAAGTAAATTAAATATATATTTACAGCTGTATCTAATAGAAAGTTTAGGGATTAAAATCTGAGCCTTCATATTGTTTACTACATTGACTGTTGATGTTATAATTTGTCTGCTCCATACTCTAAAATCTAACTATATTGAGTAATTGAGATTGTATTTTGTATATGCAACAACAATTGCTATTAAAAACAAATCTAGTATAAAAACAGAACCACAATGAGTTGAAAAATGTCGTAGTAATAGTGCATGGTGGGGGCATTTTGATTTCTCCCAGCTACATTAACTTGGTAACGCCACAAATCACGTCTACATCCTTTTTTCGTAAACCCCAACCAGATTGTAAAATGTTTTTTCACTTTAATTTTCGCTATATTTAATAATACATATATACATTTTAAAAGAAGCAAACCTTTACTAGTTGTAATTTCAAGATTTATTTAAAGCAGTATTTATAACATGAATTCATGGTAGCTATATTTATTTGTTCTACGACACATCTAGTCAACGGTTCAGTTATATTAGTCATGTATACATATTCAATATAGAAGTAAACCTAACTGAAGTATATTGTATTATTGACAAAACACGGATGTATTTATTCCCTGGAGTCTTTGTCTTTTACAAGTTTTATTATATGCCCAGTTTCAATCTTTGGCCTTCAATATCTACGAAATTATTCCATGATCCTGATACCACAGAAATCTAAATAAGAAAATTAAATTAGGTACTGTCTATATTTTCTCACACCAAACGGCTACACAACTACGCACGACAATCATAATCTTATCTTTTTCACTCGACACGGCGACGTTGAAGACATGCTGTCCTACATCCACTTGAAAATTAAATCGTTACCGTGTTATCGTAATCTATTGTTAAATCGCCCTGACTATTTTACTCGGAAGTCCGGGTTCGATTTACTGCCCGAAATCATTTTGTACTAAAAATATTTGGCATATGTATATTCATAACCGACAATAACGTTAGTTTTCATATACAACGTATCTAAATGTCACACATTATAAATCTACGGGAAAATCAGTAAAATGTTTACTTGAATTGACCAACAATTAAGGCTATGAAAATAGTTACCATTCATGAGTGGAATCGTGATTATAGTAATTTGAAGTATTTTAAAGGCCTTTAAGAAACCTTGACCAAATTGATTAAGGAATTAACACATAAATTTCGATATTTTTCCCTGATAGCCTAATAGCTTAAGAGACTATTGCTGCTATAGGTACTCGGGTAGGTGAGCTTCTGAGAGAATTGCTAAACACAAGCCCTAGTAAGAATAGTGCTTCGCTGAATCTACCACCCGATCGGAATCGCGGAAACCCACTGAGAAGATCCGACGAGAAACTCAGTAGGTATGTATACGGGTTACTTCGCTCGTCGAAATTTTCATCGTAATTCATCATCATTAATCGCGTAAATCGGTGCTTGAAGATCCTAAAAGCACCGAGATTAGATCCGGGGCTTGACATGTTTCGGCCGACGGCGAGTTTGAATTACCCTGTCGCCTGGGTCAGATATGTAATTAGCGACGGCTACGATTATCATGATTCGCCGCTTTATCTATTGTCTAATAGCGTTCTGACGCTACTTTAGACTACTACTAGCTGTACCCGTTCGCTTCGCTGGGCATTAAAAATTAACATTATTATTTCTCACCCCCACAAAGATTCTCATCATTAACGCCCCCGCAACTGGCGTAGGGAGTCCAACACTCATATAAATATTAGCGTATCCATTAAGTACATTTTCTACATGGATACCAAGTTTCAAGTCAATCGGATGCATGGTTCAGTAGTTATAACGGAACATCCGTAAAAACCTTAGCCCACTGAGTTTCTCGCCGGATCTTCTCAGTGGGTCGCGTTTCCGATCCGGTGGTAGATTCTGCGAAGCACTGCTCTTGCTAGGGTCAGCGTTAGCAACACTCCGGTTTGAGCCCCGTGAGCTCACCTACAAACGTTAGGGCGAAGCTGAAATAGCTTCTCAAGGCTATCAGCATAGGTAAGAAAAAAAAAACGTAAAACCACTGTAGATTTATATATCAGTATAGATAGAAACTAAATTTCTTTCTTGATTAATTAGATTTTGCTTTGATATGAATTTAAATTAAAGATACAGACTGAAAAACTCATTACCTACTTCAATTCCAAATAAAGTCAAGTTTCTGAAGTCACGTTTTGCAATTAAAATTAGAAACAAATTTGTATTTTTTTATATATTTAGTCAAGCTCTAAATATACTCACAAATAAGAATATCATAAGGGAGAGAAAGGAAAAAAAATAAAAGAACCGATTCAAAGTTCACACACACATGTTACTAATCTTATTCGAGAGGACATAGATAAATGTAGTTGAGAGATCATTAAGATGTGTCTTAACATTAACAAATTATATAACTTATCAATAAGAAGAAATCATAAAATATTTTGAAATAGACCATTACTGGTCTTTACATAACCGAGATTAAGAAAAATACTTATTTCGGGAGTCTCATAGATATCAGATTTTTTTTTTAAATGGCCGCCGCTGCCACTGTCTGGTCGCTGCCTACCGTTGAGTACTCTTGCAAGCCTGTGTTCTGTTCAGGCGAGCTCTGCGTGACACAAGGGACAAGAGTGCCTCAGGACGAGCTCGTGTCTGGGAGCGCGCGCGTCACACACGCGGCAACACCACAGCGTGTGCGAGCCGTGCAGACTCCGACCTGACACTGCGCACGTCTCCAGCTGCCACGAACACCGCGGACACGACGATACCCTAGTACAAAACATTATGTTACAACAAATTATATCATACCGACGCTTGAAAGGCAAACGTGACTAAGCGACAATTACTGCTTTGTACATAAATGATAGGCAATAACCATATTCGATGCGCAAAAAAATAAATTTCTAGGTCTATTAAAATCATTTCAATCCTACAGCTAGATTCGTTAAAATAGATTTTTTTTCAGGTATTTCAACTTTAAATTAGTCTACTGTAAAGTTCACGCATTGTCGCTTAGTCACGTTTGCCTTTCAAGCGTCGATACATACTAGGTAAATTACGTAATCCTTTGCAGTAATACATCTAAATTCGATTTGTGAATTAGTAGACACGCAACCGCTACAACAATTTCCCCATTTCTCGCTTAAGAAAGTAACAGGTAGTAGTAGGTACTTGTGCATTATTTTTCAACTCAACCATACCGAGTTGTTGTCACAAACTTTAACTGAGTTGACGTCATGTAGAAGGTAGGCAGCTCGTAAAACTAATCAAACAAAGTTGTAATCTACGTACATAGAAAAAAACACTGTCAATGTTATTCAGTTAAGTACCATTTTACTCCTCTGTTTTTAAATAGATTTCTTTTATCTTTAGTAGTTTCAGGCAAGCTTTAGTGCTTTCAATAAATAAAAAATTGGAAAATAGTTTAAAAATACATTTTTTTTATTGCTTAGATGGGTGGACGAGCTCACAGCCCACCTGGTGTTAAGTGGTTAATGGACCACCTGGTGTTAAATAGTTAGACATCCACAACGTAAATGCGCCACGCACCTTGAGATAAAAGTTCTAAGGTCTCAAGTATACTTACAACGGCTGCTCCACGGGCTCCACCCTTCAAACCGAAACGCATTACTGCTTTACGGCACCCCCACAAAGATTCTCATCATTAACGCCCCCGCAACTGGTGTAGGGAGTCCAACACTCATAGAAATATTAGCCTATCTATTAAGTACATGTATTTTCTACACGGATACCAAGTTTCAAGTCAATCGGATCCATGGTTCAGTAGTTATAACGGAAGATCCGTAAAAACCACTGTAGATTTATATAATAGTATAGATTCTTTTTTGTTTTATTCAGTAGTTGACGAGTTCTATGTTACCATTAGAAATTTCTAGGTTAGGTAGAAAATATGTAGGTTTTTTTCAAAATCTCAGTAGCAAAATATATGACAAAGGAATACGCATTCATATAAAATGAACATAATGATTAAAAAGGAAATGAATTTCTATCATTGGGCGAACACACTAGTTGACAGACAGACAATCATCGTCCTGTCAATTTATATGTTTGACAGAGGAACTGTGAAAACGTGACTTATTTTAAAAAAAAAACAGTGACTATTTTACGATAATATATGGACCGCTGGTTCATGAAACGTGAACTATTCTGGTATAAGTTAATTATTGTTGTAACAATACTTCCGAAACCGCAATTACATGTTACGTTTGAAGGGTGGGACGCCCGGGATACAATCAGGATTTCGACCGCACTGAAGTCGTCGTGGCCTGAAGGATAAGACGTCCGGTGCATTCGTATCTAGCAATGCACCGGTGTTCGAATCCCGCAGGCGGGTACCAATTTTTCAAATGAAATAAGTACCTAATAAATGTTGACGGTGGACTTCCACGGTGAAGGAAGAACATCGTGTAATAAAAATCAAACCCGCAAAACTATAATTTTCGTAATTACTGGTGGTAGGACCTCTTGCGAGTCCGCACGGATAGGTACCACAGCCACCACCACCAAAAAAAAAAGGTAAGTGACGGCATTTAGATCGTGAAATGTATAAGCTCCGCTGAACACTTTCCAGCTGGCTGTTAGCTCGTGAGCCCTCTCGCATAAAGAAAAAAAAAACTTATTTACCACTCCGGCATTGAACCTTCACAATTCGGACACTCGATTCTGTTTCCTTTTGCATCTTTAGGTCTGCACCTCGTAAATATTTCCACTGCCAGATTCTCGAACACAGCAGGCTGTAACGTTTAGAGCAGAAAAGCGACTTTTATTAAAACTATCTGTCATGTCTACAACTCATGAAAACGTATATAAATACAAAATGAAAAACATATAATTTTCTGTGCAAGGTTTACCTATTAGTTGACTTATTATAAAGTCTATTCATCTATCAATTGGATACCGGTGTTGGGACATGTTTTGAGCCCGCACTGGTGGGTAGCATCATCTTACTTATTTCTGCCGCAAACAATAAATACGTTCTAATGCGATATCTAACAATGGCGCTTTAACAATTAATTTGAGACTTCAAACTTAAGGCGATGAAAACGTCATTCACGCTAGTCTTTTGCTTCAGTAACCAGATACTAGCAGGCAGGCCGTGAGTTCGTTCAACTATATAAATCATAGATAAAAAAAAAACAAAAATATACTCACGTCCATCGCTTCGAGTTTAATGAACGCCTTAGAAGCCAGGTCGAATGCTCGATTTTGAATAGCTATTGAGGCTATTGTGCACCAGGCCTACAAAAATAAATAGATTTAAGTAACGCGTAACATAAGCCATTCGAATAGGTACTGGGCTGCACTAAAAGTATCGGGAATGGAATATTTCCACTGTTCCTGTCATATTAAAATCTTTTTAATTGAAAACTCCTCGGTTTTAAAAATCGAATACCATTTATTTATTTAAAAAAAGATTCTCGGTCTTGTCACGAGGTTTTGTCAAACTTGTTTAGTCGTTGAGAAAATGGAATTGACTCGAGAAAATTCAAAAGCGATGATTTATAATGACTTTCGAAGTGGTTTAACACAAAAACAGTGTGTTGACCGGATGATTTCTGCATTTGGTGATGAAGCCCCATCCAAAACCACAATTTATCGCTGGTTTGCTGAGTTTCAACGTGGACGTGTCAAGCTCAGTGATGATCCCCGTCAAGGTCGTCCAAAAACTGCAGTCACCCAAGAAAACGTTGATGCTGTGCGTAAGCTGATTGAGGAAGATCGACATGTGACATACCGCGAAATTCAGGCAACTTTAGACATTGGCATGAGTCAAATACAAATAATCTTGCATGAACAATTAGGTGTAAAAAAGTTGTTTTCCCGATGGATACCGCATTCGCTCTGTGAAGAGCAAAAAGCGGCTCGCGTTACTTGGTGCGTCAGAACTCTCGAAAGATTCCACGCAGGATCCTCAAATGCTGTATACAACATTGTATCAGGTGACGAATCCTGGATATACGCGTACGAACCCGAAACAAAAAACCAGTCACGAGTTTGGGTGTTCGAAAATGAGTTAAAGCCAACAAAAATTGTTCGTTCACGGAGTGTTGCAAAAAAAATGGTGGCCACGTTTGTCTCCAAAACCGGCCATGTTACGACTATTCCTCTTGAGGGACAAAGAACGGTTAATGCAGAATGGTATGCTAGCATTTGTTTGCCACAGGTCGTTTCTGAACTCCGTAAAGAGAACTGCAACCGCCGCATCATCCTCCATCACGACAATGCGAGTTCTCACACCGCGCACAGAACAAAAGAGTTTTTAGAGCAAGAAAACATAGAATTATTAGACCATCCGCCGTACAGCCCCGACCTAAGCCCTAATGATTTCTATACTTTCCCTAAAATAAAGAATAAATTGCGTGGACAGAGATTTTCATCACCTGAAGAAGCTGTGGACGCCTACAAAACGGTCATTTTGGAGACCCCAACTTCCGAATGGAATGGTTGCTTCAATGATTGGTTCCATCGTATGGAAAAATGTGTCAAATTTCGCGGAGAATACTTCGAAAAGCAATAAATACTTTTTTAAATAGTCATGTTGTGTCACTTCGCTAATTCCCGAAATTTTCAGTGCCGCCCTCGTACCTAATACCAATCTGGCTGTTCCGCGTAGTTATGCGGGAGTAACAGCCACAACTGTGAGTTCTGATTTGAAGACTAAAATAGCCGTATTACAGTAAGAATAAGGCTTTCACCTCATGTCTCAATATTAGCAGCGGTATTTACTTTGTGTCGTTTAAGGGATCCGGTCACCACTTTGGCTGTGAACTAGTTTGCCTATCTTATATATATATATCTTCTATTTATATATATATATATAAATGAATTGCTGTTCGTTAGAATCAGTCTCGTAGAATCAGAATCGTGTTGAAATGTTCGTTAGTCTCGCTAAAACTCGAGAACGATCGGGACTGGACCGATTTGGGTAATTTTGGTCTTGAATTATTTGTGGAAGTCCAGAGAAGGTTTAAAAGGTGGATAAATATGAAAATGTTCGGAATTAAATAAAAATAACAATTTTGTTTTCCCTTTGATGTGTCCCCCGTCGGGCGGATTTCTTTTGTTTGTTTCAAGTTTATTTTATACAAAAGTTTATTTTATTTATCGCCTGAGGCACTACGCAGTCTGCCGGGTCGGCTAGTAACAAATAAAAATAGTTTGTGTGTGGTGGTGGGTGGGTCGTGACGAGTCGTTCTTACAGCGCGATGTTGTGCGGGGTGCAGCGCCGGTAGTAGCGCGTGCAGGCGGGCGGCGGCGCGCAGGGCGGCGTCGGGGCGCATCGGGGAGGCGGCTGTCGCCAGCCAGTGCTGCGCCGCCCCACGCCGCCACCACTCCGCTCCCGTGCACCCTGCCGCTGCACACGCCGGTAGCCGCTCATTAGATAACAGTTAAGGTACGCGTCCTATGGACCGCGCAGGATGCAAAAAAAAAATTTTAATTTTTTTTTTTTTTGCGCATATGCCCCTGACAAAAGCAGGGACACTTTTATCACAATTTAAAAGGGCATTATTCACGGATTTATTTATTTATTTTTTATTGCCCTTTTAGGCAGACGAGCATACTGCCCACCTGATGGTGAGTAGTTACCGTCGCCCATGGACTTCAGCAATGCCAGGGGCAGAGCCAAGCCGCTGCCTACAGATATATTTATGCTCATAAATGCCGGTGCGTTCGGTGCGGGCGGCGCGGATAGTGGACGCAGTACCATGTGAAATCATACAAAGCCAAATAAAGTATTTTCAGATCTATGTGATCTTTTTTTTTATTACTTAGATGGATGGACGAGCTCACAGCCCACCTGATGTTAAGTGGTTACTGGAGCCCATAGACATCTACAACGTAAATGTGCCACCCACCTTGAGATATAATTTCTAAGGTCTCAGTATAGTTACAACGGCTACCCCACCCTTCGAACCGAAACGCATTACTGCTTCACGGCGGAAATAGGCGGGGTGGTGGTACCTACCCGTGCGGACTCCCAAGAGGTCCTACCACCAGTGAAAATTATTGATACTAGCTTCAAGATATTATCATCTCACGTCGAAATATGCATATGATATTCTAAGAATAAAATATACAAGTCGTTTTAGTTATAAATGGGCAATCAAAAGTGTCTATAGTCGCAGTCTACGTCAAACTACGTTACAAGCTAATGGTAATGGTAAAAACGAGATGCCGGTATCATCTCGAACAATTCCTCAGAGCACTCCCCATGGAACATACGATACAAAATACAGAGGGAACCGAAGTCCCTCCGCAGACCCAGAGGTTCCAAACGATCCGTGAGAATGGGATTATCGACAATCCGAACGACCCTCCTCTGTATGGAGTCAAATGGAAGAAGCTGGTATTTGGGAGCCCCGGCCCAGAGATTGGAGCAGTACTCCACGCGAGGCCGGACTTGTGCTTTATAAAGCAAAAGCCTTTGTCCAGGCATGAAGTACCGCTTCGCTCTGTTGAGGACTCCCAGCATTTTGGACGCCAACTTGGCTTTGCCTTCCAAATGACTCCGAAACTGGACATCGCTCGAAATGTCGACCCCATGTATCCCAATACTCTTGGAAGGTCTCAAAAGAACGGGTACATCATATCCTAAGTGAGGAATTAAATATGAAAAAGTCATCGGCCCGTTGGGTGCCGCGATTGCTTACGCAGGATCACAAAAGGATTTGGGTACAAAACTCAAAAGAATGTCTGGACCGTTTCAGAGTAATAAGGCCGATTTTTTACGTCGATTTGTAACAACAGATGTAACATGGGTTCATTATTACACGCCAGAATCAAAAATTCAGTGAAAACAGTGGACGCAATCGGGATGCCCGGCTCCAAAAAAAGCCATGGCTGTAAAGTCGGCTAGTAAAGTGATGGCTTCCGTCTTTTGGGACGCAGATGGGATCTTGATGATAGATTACCTTCCAAAAGGTCAAACGATTAATGGAGAATACTACACTAATCTTTTAGATAATTTTCATCAGTGTATTCAGCAAAAACGACCAGGTTTGGCGAAAAAAAAATCATCTTCCGCCAAGATAACGCTAGGGTTCACACATGTGTTAAAGCTATTGCAAAAATCAACGAATTGAAGTATGATTTGCTGCCTCACCCACCTTATTCGCCTGATCTAGCACCATCAGACTTTCACTTATTCTCTAAGCTCAAAACTTTTTTAGGCGGATAGAAATTTGCCACAAATGATGAAGTCATAGCCGCTGTAGAGGAGTATTTTGCCAGCCTCGAAAGATATCATTTTATGGAAGGCATTACTGCTTTAGAACGAAGATGGCATAAGTGCGTAGATGTTAACGGAAAATTAATTTTATCACGAAAGTTAAGTGTTTTATTATTAGGTTAGTTACTTATCATCCCGCCCTTGTAGTAACCTCGAGGTGTTATACTAGAATCTCCGGGCAAGTAGGTGAGCTCACGGGGCTCTAACCTGAAGACGTTGCTAACACTACCCCTAGCAAGAGTAGCGCTTCGCAGAGTCTACTACCGGATCGGACACGCGACCTACTGAGAAGATCCGGCGAGGAACTCAGTGAGCTGCAATTACCATTATTACATTTTATTACACATAACTCTTACCTCCTGGGTTTTGATTGTACAAGTGACCCGCCAGTATGTATAGCTTCTTTATTCGCAGAGGTGATGCATTTTTTGAAGCTTCGACATTAGCCAACTGAAACATAAGCCGGGAATAGAGAACTTGGCACTGATAAATATAATTAAAGAAATTCGCAAAAATATTAATCTATGAATGGAAATAGGGATTTTGGTATGCTTGGATATGGATATGCTCACATATATGGCAACACGGTGATTGGCCGCGGGATTGATTGGAATCCATTATTCTTCCGCTACACAAGAAAGGATCAACCAAGAATTGCGACAATTATCGAACCTTGTCCCTCATCTCACATGCAAGCAAAATCTTGCTTCACATCCTCAACAACCGCATCCGTTACTACCTTGATTGGCAAATTCCGCAAGAGCAAGCGGGTTTCGTGAAGGGCAAGGGTACTCGTGCACAGATTCTCAACATCAAGCAGATTGTTGAGAAAGCATATGAGTTTGATACGCCAGTGATAATGTGTTTCGTCGACTATAGCAAGGCGTTCGACTGTGTCAACTGGAGTTGTTTATGGAAGGTTCTACAAGAACTTGGGGTACCAAATCATCTCATCGCCTTACTTCGCAACTTGTATGGCTCAAGTCAGGCAGTCGTAACAGTCGATAGAACAACCTCGAAACCTTTTAAATTTCACAAAGGAGCACGCCAAGGTTGTATTTTATCGCCCATTCTTTTCAACGCCTATGAGGAGCACATAATGAGACGGACCTGCGAGAATTGGGATGGTGGCATTACAGTTGGTGGCGTGAAAATCACCAACCTCCGATACGCCGATGACACTACTCTTCTTGCAGCGAATGAGTCGGAAATGGTTGCGCTTTTAGACCGAATGGAGCAGATAAGCAAGGAGATGGGACTTTCCATAAACAGGTCCAAAACCAAAGTCATGGTGGTGGATAGGTCTGGAAAATTGGAACTCACTGGCACATTAGATCTAGAAATAGTGGACAATTTTAACTACCTGGGTTCCAACATTAGTAACAATGGCTCGTGCGAGAAGGAAGTGCGCCGGAGAATTGGTATGGCTAAGAGTGCCATGACTCAGCTCGGAAAAATCTGGAGTGATCGCAACATATCCGTAAAGACCAAAACCAAACTGGTACGGACTCTAGTTTTCTCGATTTTTTCGTATGGCGCTGAGACCTGGTCACTGAAATCTGCAGACCGCAGATGCATTGACGCCTTTGAGATGTGGTGCTGGAGAAAGATGCTGCGTATTCCGTGGACAGCATTTCAGAACAACGTATCAATCTTGCAAGAACTCAAAATCTCCTCGCGGCTGTCATCCGAGTGTCTTCGCAGAGTCCTTGAATACTTTGGTCACATCGCACGGAAGGATGGTAGCAATCTCGAGAGGCTCATCGTGACGGGTAAGGTAGATGGGAAAAGACCTCGGGGGCGCAGCCCAATACGTTGGTCCGACCGGATCCGCACCGCTCTTGATTCCACGTTTCACAACGCCCTCCACACCGCCAGAGACAAGAATGGATGGAGAAAGATCGTGCGTTCGAAGGTGATACAAAAGGGTGGTCACGACCCTCAGCAATGAGGAATACGCCGCAAGGAGGAGGTTTAAAACGACATCTTGTGTAATCTGATTGTGTCAAATCTTTGGAATTTATTAAACTTACCTGAAACGCCATATTAGCAGCCTGAATAGTTCGACCACTCTCTTTAAGTTGTATTATATACTGTATGGAGGGCTGCTCATTTATTTTACTGTCCAAGAGTTCAGCGTCATTTTGTTTTAATTTTGTATCCTGAAAATATTTATTTTAAGTTTATAGGACTGAAAATAAGTATGATATAGACAAGGGGAAAATTGCTTTCCTCCCGAGGTATTTAGACGCTGTCGGAATAAAAAATCAGGAGAACTTGACAATAAACTCCTATTAAGAACCAGAATGTACCTACTTCGAAAGGCAAAAAATTATTACCAGACTTAATTTTATCGTAGTGCTCACCGCTGCATACCTACTATTTATTGTGTGTAACCAAAGAAACCAAAGATTTTCTGATGATATTCAAGAATTACTACACGATACAATTATATTGTGAATTGGCGGTAGTTCTTTTGACGTTCAACAAGTATGTACTTTCATTTATGTTGAATAAATTTTTTTTGATTTGATTTGATTTGATATAAAGTCTACAATGAGATCGATTGGCTAATCAAACCTTTAATACTGTTACTACCTAGTTAGGTTACTACTACCTAGGTACCTATTGGTTCCTAATCGTAGGACACAACTTGTGTTGCCAACATCGTGTGTGTCCGATCACTACACCTATCCGACACGCAGTCTCAGCTTAGCTGTAGGCTTGTGTGGTTCTCTGGGTATTTTAGAACATACCTTTGTGGTTCTCGGAGAACTTATGAATAATTTGGAAAGTGATTCATTATCCTCTAATGCCATGTAACATTTCTTCAATCCTTCTGTGTTATTGGACATTTTATAGTATTCCAAAGCACCGCTCCTGTAAAAGTTTGCGCGTTCAACACGTAAAATGACACAAAAAAGGTGGAAGGGTGAAACGAAATTGCTATGAAGACAGTACCTACTGGCCATAGTTACATAGTCTAAAGAGATTTTTCAAACACCTTTTTTATCTTTCATTGTTTCAGATAGGACATGCTGTTTGTCCATGTGTGGCGGGTAGCCATCACACAACGCAAGATATTTGACAGATGCCTGAATCTCGCTTACGACATTTTCAAGATAAGCTTGTATATATACAAGTTCCGAAAAACAACATTTGGGACCGTCGGTCTACCGAGCAAATATCACCCGCTCGGTGGAAGATCTTCCTTTCGTCGTAAACTGCCCCAAACATGGGTCCATTTTTGCTACGAAATAGCAATGCTTTCAGGCTTGTAGGGTGAGAAAAATGGAGACTTCGACCATATCTCACAAGGTGGATGGTAGTGTTCACGTAATCACAACACCAAGTCGGCCGTGAGTGCGTCGACCCTTACAAGGCAGTTTTTTTTTTTTTAAATACATTTAATTTTATTTAAAGCACATGCAAACAGGACGCGAAGTCTAGCTTGAGTGACTTAAGCACTTCAAATTTCCGCGAACGCATAAAATAGTGTTATATAGGTACTAGTAACGCTATCTGTTGTCAAATAGCAAAACCGGATATCAAAACAACTAGTACTGTTGGAAATGTTTTAGAAAATTGTAGATACGTCGTATCGACTTTAAAAGCGTTGCTTAAACAACATGTAGGAAGTTAATAATCTGTTCTACACGAAACGACACAACGACAGGATACCTTCACCTGAAGCGAAGCGAAGCGAAAGGTGAATTTTGATATTGAAGTTCACCTTAAGTGTCTTAATAATTAAATTGAGTTTTAATTAGTAGTTTATTGAGAGTTTTTATTTATCCCGAGACTTAGCGCGTAGCAGTTTTATCAAAATTTTGTTACTTCTTCACGCTTTTAACGTCGGGTGATTTTCATTATTTCAAACGAATTTCTAATACTTTCAAGTAACTTTGCCGCACTGCCTCTACTATAAGCAGAACGTTAAAGGATTACTGAGGAGATTTCGTTTTACACAAATACATGATTTAAAAAACGACTCAAAAACTTATATCTCATCACCTCCACTTCGCCTCCATAATATTTTATATAAAGTATCATTACGTTCCCACCATTAGTTTATAAATTATTCTATACTGGTAGACCCGGCAGACTTCGTAGTGCCTCAATTGATAAATAAAAGATCTAAGCATTTGTATAAAATAAACTTGAAACATTGAACTTAATTAATTCCGAACATATTCATATTTATTCACATTTTAAACCTTCTCTGGACTTCCACAAATCATTCAAGACCAAAATTAGCCAAATCGGTCTAGTCGTTCTCGAGTTTTAGCGAGACTAACGAACAGCAATTCATTTTTATATATATAGATAGATATAAATTATTCTATATTAAATTTGGATCATAAACATAATGCAAATGCATTTCGATCGCCAGCCAAGATCGCCTGCGAGTGCTGTAGTGTGGTTAGTAGGTAGTGAGACGAAACAAAGTTACTATTCACCAATTTTGTCTATCAATGTAGAAGTCCCCAATATTGACGTAGGCTTGTTTAATGTGTGCATCGGTGGTGTTCGCCGACATTTTCAAAAGTTCAACCACACGAAACCAATGTCCTAAACGCTTACGTAAAGCTATAGCTAAATCTCTGAAACAGAGAGCGATATGTTTTTATTTTATTATTTCAACACCTTGTATTACAAATACAAATATTACGAACAATGTGTAGTTTAATTGTTTTTGGTCATTGCATAAAGTTAATTGAAAATAATATAACATGTAGGTATATAGCATATAATTAACATTTCACAAATTGGATTGACACTTGATAAATGTTGGTAATAGTATGGTAATTAAACAAATTTCAAGATTAATAAATCTGAGAATAAGATTTGGAACATTTACTCTTTAAAAATTACATATCACTATTATTTTCACAGTGATTTTTACCCGTACACTCACCGTCTGTCTTCGTTTAAATAAATCTTTTCAGCGGCATCGAAGTCTTTGAAATATGCCATTATTTCGGCTTTCTTAAGGGCACTGGAATGTAGTGCATTCAGTCGCGATACAAATTTAATTCCTGCGTAATCATTTCGCCTAACAAACGCAGCTTCGGCCGTTTCGACTGCGTTCTCAGATTCAAATTTCCTCAAGGCCGCTTCAGCGAGCAGTAACCTGTGCCATAGAAAGACACAGTACAGATGTACAGCTCATTCACATTTGAGGCTGTCAGCGCAAAAGTGCCCTAATCTTATCATAGTATGGAGATAATGAGGTTCGAATTTTCTTTTACACTGTTTCGTAGGCAAAAGCAATACGGACAATAGTACATTGTGCACCAAGGGAGAAAAGTAGGACATTTCTTCCCGCGTGTAAAATTCCCGCATTTTAGGTGCGTGAGAGCAGACGTAGAGACTAACGCGCATGCGCACTTGTCAGTACGCAGGGAGGAAAAAATACACTTTCTTCTCTGTACAGCGGGAGGAAAAGTTAGACTTTCTTCCCTGTACAGCGGGAGGAAAACCGAACTTTCGGCGTAGGTAGGAGAAAAAATGGGTTAGACCACTTTTGCACTGACGGCCTCATTTATAAGCTGCATCATCAAAATTCAAACACAAACAAAATCCGAGTGATTAACAGCGCTAACAACGTTGAACATTTTTTTCCTACCTATCCTAGGGACCTCGAGGGGTCATACTAGATTCACCGAATGAGTCTTGAACTATAAATCAATTACAAATTGATGAGTCGAGTTCTAGTTGGGAATGTAACTAAAAAACGTTAAAGTTACTACTGACCATAATTGCGGGTGGGGATTATCTTTTATAAAGTTTTCCGCTTCTTTCAATCCGACTTTTTCAATGAGCTGCCTCGTGTCTCTGAGCGATTTCACTTCGACACGTACTATGTGTTGCGGTGAGCATTTGTCAGACAAGTTATCTAATAATGCTGTAGTTATTTCCAGTTCCTTAAAATCAGAACATTATTGAGAGTTTACTTACTTAGTTTAGTTTACTTTTTATTGGTGGCAGGACCTCTTGTGAGTCCGCAAGGGTAGGTACCACCACCCCGCCTATTTCTGCCGTGAAGCAGTAATGCGTTTCGGTTTGAAGGGCAGGGCAGCTGTTGCAACTATACTGAGACCTTAGAACTTATATCTCAAGGTGGGTAGCGCATTTACGTCGTAGATGTCTATGGGCTCCAGTAACCACTTAACACCAGGTTAGGCTCGTCCAACGATATAAGCAATAAAAAAAAAACAAAAGAAGATAAATTTAGGAAATCCAGCCGCTTCATAACAGAAACCCACATAATTACTTCAGTACGCCGCGTAGTGCACCGGTGACCTACACGGCAGTCAACGTGTTAAGAGCCACGTTAATGTTTACCTTAAATTTACATAGATATCCCTGCATGACGAGCGGCTCCTCGGGCTCGTTGTCCCGCATGACGTAGAGTCGCGCCTTCTCAGCCGCAGCCAGCATGTGAGGGTTGTCCGTGGCCCACATCGCGCTCCACACGTCCTTGCGCAACGCTTGACCGACACTTATATTATTTGACATATCGGTGTCCAAAATATGTAGACATCCCGGCTGATCGATAACTAGAAACTTACTAAAACAAACCTGTGTATTACTAACGTCTTTTTTTTTTATTCGCAAAATTTCAAGAATCGCGGTACGTGTGACTTTACCTTGAATTAGAGTTCAAACTCATTTTATACGGTCTCGAATTGATATTGATCGACGTGATTCTTTTGAAGCTTAGTAAAGAGAACAGCAGTATCGTACCGGAATCTCGACCGATCAGTAGATGACTGTCGGAGCACGCGAGACAACATATCGTGTCGTCTTGAAACGCGGTACCGTTAGCTGTTAATAAAGTACCATCGGGATGGAACAGCTGTTCTGAAGTCACTGAAAAATATTTAACAGCGTTGAAATACAATTATCTATTTTTTAAACATAACATTTCTCACAGATGTACCAATAATGATTATGGTTATGACTGTTGTTAACCCCACGATTATATCATAATCGTATCGTAAGGTATCATCGTGGTAAGATATACAGTATGGGTGCGAAACACCAACTTGCCTACTTCAATCGCGAAGAAATGTTGCTTTTGCAAGGAAAAACGGCCGTAAACATAAATAAAGTGTGCATTTTGTCGGCGACGGTACCCAGACGAGGAGGTCGCGCGGAAGCGGAGTACGGGGGGGGGGGGGCGAATAAAACGTGATGACAGACGCGTGCGCAACACCAACATAATTAGTAAAACACCAATAAGCGGCAGAACTTAATATGTAAATCGAATAAAATAAAATTATAAAAACCAGTAATAAAAGTATAAAAATATAATTTTATCATTTAGTTCAATTCCTGAACACATTTGGTTAATAAAATGAGTATCAGCCTGCGGGTTTCAAACACCGGCACGGTCGCATCGCTCGACACGAATGTGCCGGCCGTCTTATCGTTTAGACCAAGACGATTTCAAATATTAACAAAAAATGTGTGTAATCTTATAACCAAAAGCGATTACTTAAACTTTAGCGAGACTTAAAGTAAAAAAACAAAAAAAAAATTAGAAAAAGCTGATACATATATCTACAAGTACACATACGTTTAAATAATAAAATTCGCAAAATCCGCATAGGTATACGCACATGATCGTGACGGAGTTGAAAATTTCCATACCATGAAGGATTCTTTCGATGCAGCTACTGCAATAGCTTTGCTATTGATTGTAACATAAGCCATGGATACGTTTACTGTTTTAGCTGAAAATTTTAAAAGAGTTATTTCATATTAAGAACTTTAGATTAACGTTTCCGTTTAAGTTTCATTAACTTTGAACGCTGACCGTCACACTGGATTCCCTGTTGATTCGATATTATAAGCGTATTTACTGTTGCAATTATACAATACTCTTCTGCTCCATACATGTCGATAACGTCAGGTATATGGTTCACCCAAGACTGAAATAAAATAATAGTGATAATAAGCGGAACACAGGTTTAGTGTATTTTTAGTAAAAAAAACACTTATATTTTAGAGCGCTTTTATTTTATAAAATTAAAAATAAAACAAATATAGTAGATAATTAGATTAATCTAAATAGATTAATAGATAATAATAGTAAAATACTGAAATAGATTATCCATATTGGTTTATGAAATAATTATATTAGTTTAATTTTGTATTTATGAACACGTGACAAAGTGAAAGTGGCTAGGTGGTGCGATAACCTCCGAACAGTACAGGCAAAAAGTGGATGAGGAGAACCGAAGACCGGGCTCAGTGATGTGGATTGGGAGAGGCCTATATCCAGCAGTGGACGACTGTGGGCTGATGATGATGATTGACAAAATTAATGGTGATGTGGTGTACAAAAATAATAATGATAATATGCTGATGGTATAAAAGAAAAGTTAACTAATACCTGGTTAGTTACAGTGTCCCAAAAAGTAACAGTTTCAGCGCCAGATATGAAAGCTAACGTATTTCCGTAGAAGGCGTATTTGTGGTCCGGTCTCACATTTGCAAAATATATGAACGAATCTACCGCTATAGCGAGTCGCAGCGAGCGCTTCTCCCACGACAGTGCTCTCATTGTACCACCTGGTACCCTTAAAGTTCTTATATGCTGAAAAATCAAATAAAATTACAACTTTTTTTAAGTCCTTTTTGGACAACGCAATACTTAAGCTGCTGATATTAAGAAATTATTTTAAGTAATTATCATAGTGTTTCCTGTATTAAATTGGCCAATCACTGGTTTCCTTTCGAAAAATGAAACTGTAATTCATAACTTAATGAAAAGGACATGAAAAGTCGATGGCCTTTAGTTCGGTATTTATGTTATTTATAAAATATTAATAAGAACAATTTCGTTTCATTTGTACATAATATATAAATATAGACAATTATGTAACGCATAAGAAAAGGCGCAATCGTAAACAATACTATAATGCATATTACTACATACTGTATTACATACATACGTACCTACATATTATACTAAGTATTATATGAAGCTACTAGATAATCTACTTACAATATCATTTACGAAAAAGTTCTTTATTTGGAAAACTCACCTCCCCATACGCAGTAAAAAATTGCACTACATTTGTATTATCGCTAGTGTGACCTGCTACAGCTAGTACTGTACCAATGTGATTCCAATGACAATCAATTGTCGTCATATTCGTATCTATTAGAATACTATCTGTAAAATTTATTAATTTTAATCAAAATTTTATTAAATGTAACTTCAGTTTAATAGGTAGTAGTCGTCGTGGCCTAACGGATAAGACGTCTGGTGCATTCGTGTTGAAGCGATACACCGGTGTTCGAATCCCGCAGGCGGGTACCTATATTTCTAATGAAACACGTACTCAACAAATGTTCACGATTGACTTCCACGGTGAAGGAATAACATCGTGTAATAAAAATGAAACCCGCAAAATTATAATTTGCGTAATTACTGGTGGTAGGACCTCTTGTGAGTCCGCGCGGGTGGGTACCACCACCCTGCCTATTTCTGCCGTGAAGCAGTAATGCGTTTCGGTTTGAAAGGTGGGGCAGCCGTTGTAACTATACTTGAGACCTTAGAACTTGTATCTCAAGGTGAGTGGCGCATTTACGTTGTGGATGTCTATGGACTCCAGTAACCACTTAACACCAGGTGGGCTGTGTGCTCGTCCACCCATCTAAGCAATAAAAAAAAAAAAAGGTACAAAGTTCAGTAACGTTTGTGGTCTGTGTGCTTAGTGCGAGTTTTTTAACGTTCCCGATAGCGTAAAAGTTAGCACATATTTGTATGGAATGGGATCGTTTGCGTACGTTTGCCGCTAGGGGCGCTGTTCCAACTACATACAAAATTGGCTTAACTTCTACGCTATCGAGAACGTTAAGAAACTCGCTTTAAGCACTCTGATACATTAAGCCTACTCGTATCAAGTAGCTACGATGGGGCTTAAGTCTTGGTGAGAAGTACCATTATTTAAGTTTACGTATCAGACTAGCCGTAAACTAATGTTTCTAGACCTTTTTATAGGCACTCGGGCGCCCACTGAGTTTCTCGCCGGATCTTCTCAGAGGGTCGCGATTCCAATTCGGTGGTAGGTTCTGCGAATCACTGGTCTTACTAGGGCTAGCGTTAACAAATTCACCCGTACGGGCGTAGCTGGGATAGCCTCTTAGGCTACTAGCGAATAAGTAGGGGAAAAACGCTCTGTGTGCTTAGTTTTGTAACGTTCTCAATAAGTAAAGTTTAACTCAAATTTCTATGGAGTTGGAACATTTGCCTACGTTTGGCGCTGTTCTAACAATAGTTACAAAGCAACGCGGCTGTGTACCGATGTCCTCCTACCTATATCTGCCGTCAAACAGTTGTTCTATTTTAAAGGTTAGGCCACGATTGCTATACCATTATGTTATTGAATTCAATTATATCTTCAACTAGTTTTTCACCGCGACTTCGTCCGCGTGGAATAGTTACTTTGGGATAAGGCAAAATTTTATACGCGACTTCATTTATGTAGAAGGTGAAAATATTTTGAATAATAGAATATTAAGGAGCTATTTAATGTTCCAAAATCACGCTTTTAACCGACTTGAAAAGAGGAGGTTATCAATTAGTACACAATTTTTTTATCTATGTAGGTATGTTCACCGACTTCTTGAGAATACTTGAACCGATTCTGATAATTCTTTTTTCTTTTTTTTTTTGTTCGAAAGGGTAGACTTCCAGAATGATCCTGTAATCGTCCATCATTTCAAAGCCTATCTTGAAGTGATATGGGTGTTTTTTGTGTTTATTCTGTGCCGCCGCGTACCGGCGCGGCCATCCGGAGCCTTGTACATCGCTATTACGCGCTTAATCATTATTTTGCTGCGATTATTATTTTAAAACTGCGATATCTTTTCTAAGATACTCATTAAAATGAAATGACGTAAAGGGCAAATTTCTCTTAAATTTAATACTTGAATGAATAACGTATTTATTTGGATAAGAGTTAATATCGTCTTTAGAAACACACCTTCACAAATAACGCTTTATTTTAAAACAAATTTGGTTAGCATAAAAAAGGTTATAGTGAGCCAACCTTAAAATATAATAGATATATGCTTTCGCGGACTTTTTTTTAAATTTTTAAAGAGAATCAGTTCTGTCATACATTATTTTGGCGTACCTTTAATCGTTTTCATAGCGCACGCAGCGGAAGCTCTCGAAAGAAGAAAAAAACCCGATTTTGAAGCATTCTTTATTAATGCTCCGCTCTTATTGTTTTTAGCGTGATGCTATATAGCCTATAGCCTATCTCCAAAAATAGACTATCTAACACTGAAATAATTTTTCAAATTGGACCAGTGGTTCCTGAGATTAGCGCGTTCAACCAAACAAACAATCTCTTTAGCTTTATAATAAATATTAATTACAGAATAGTATAGATTATGTATCTTAATGTGAGTAGCGGCTTTAAGATGTGCTGACTATATTATCCGCCTAACATCGAGTGGATAGTGAACAGTTGCGGGCGTTATAGCTAATTGGAAAAGTACAAGACCAGATTCATATACCAACCTTCTTCAATGCAATTCTTCATGAGTAACAGCATACCTCCACGGTAACAAACTGCTAAAACAGGTCTATTGCGTGGAGCCGTGCCAGGAAACCAATCCATTGTAGTTACTTCCATAGGTCCAGTAATGCCATTCACAGCTACTGGCATCTTTTTTAACAGGTATACAATATAATAATATAAATACTTTAACGAAAATTTTCAATTTTTTTTTTATTGCTTAGATGGGTGGACGAGCTCACAGCCCACCTGATGTTAAGTGGTTACTGGAGCCCATAGACATCTACAACGTAAATGCGCCACCCACCTTGAGATATAAGTTGTAAGGTCTCAGTATAGTTACAACGGCTGCCCCACCCTTCAAACCGAAACGCATTACTGCTTCACGGCAGAAATAGGCAGGGCGGTGGTACCTACCCGCGCGGACTCACAACAGGTCCTACCACCAGTAAATATTATATTATATTATGTAGAACTATGGCCTAGCGGCCTGTTCGTTTATAACAGGGGTTCCCAAACTTTTGTCTACTGCCCACTTCGAGAATAAATTATTTTTTAGCGCTCCCGTTTTTTCACCTACTTAAAAACCACTATAGCGAGAGCTCAGTCGGCGTCTAAGTCCTCCTAGATGAAATTACAAATCGCCTCCCAAGCCTCGACACAACGCCCCCATTTTTTTTCTGGGTCTCTTACCACTCCCATAGCCCACTGAGTTTCTCGCCGGATCTTCTCAGTGTGTCGCGTTTCCGATCTGGTGTTAGATTCTGCGAAGCACTGCTCTTGCTAGGGCCAGTGTTAGCAATTCTCCGGTTTGAGCCCCGTGAGCTCACCTACAAACGTTAGGATGAAGCTGAAATAGCCTTTTAAGGCTATCAGCATACGTAGGGAAAAAAACACTCCATTTAGGCTTTCAGTGCCCACAAGAGGCGTTATCGTCCACTTTCGGAAAGGCTGGCATATAAGATAAAAAATGTCTAATGCATTCCAAGCAAATTTTTGGACATCTTATGATCCATATCATTACATTATTATATTTTTAGTTAGTTCGAATAATTAATTTATTTGTGAATTTTATGTATTATGAAGAAAACAATTCGAACATTACCATAAAGTTTCCTTGGTCGTCATATAAATGCAGTTCCCCATTACTTAATGCAAAAAGTAGACTTGAATTATCCGGAGACCATTGAACAGCAGCCAAGCCTGGTCCTTTTATATCTTTACCCCACACTCGAGATCCATCTACAGAACCAACGATTACAGCTCCTAAAATTTAAACAAATGGGACTCAAGCATTATTGTGTGATATTTTTTAGTAGTTTAAGTTTTTTTTTTATATTCATTTAAATTTTGTAACAAACCATCTTCATAGGCAATGCAAATTTTTTGTCCATCTGAACCCCAACACATACTGGAAACAGTTGATTTATTTCTATTATTTATCATTTCTTCATACCAAGATCCCTGAAAGTTGTTAACATAAAAATAATTAGAATGATAAGAATGATACACTGGGAGTAAGGAAAAGGCTTCGGAAAATAACGACATCGAATTGAATACCAAAAAGTAACACATTAGTAAGCTAATGTATATTCAAGAATTTTACCAATCACCAATCATGGGCTAACCAGATACTCCCAACCATGGATAGCATTAAATAATGGTCCAGCTATGCATGAGGGAATGTGTCCTAACCAATCACAGTCCTTTAACAAATCCCGCAGGCGGGTACCAATTTTACTAATGAAATACGTACTCAACAAACGTTCACGATTGACTTCCACGGTGAAGGAATAACATCGTGTAATAAAAATCAAACCCGCAAACTTATAATTTGCGTAATTACTGGTGGTAGGACCTCTTGTGAGTCCGCGCGGGTAGGTACCACCAGCCTGCCTATTTCTGCCGTGAAGCAGTAATGCGTTTCGATTAGAAGGGTGGGGCAGCCGTTGTAACTATACTGAGACCTTAGAACTTATATCTCAAGGTGGGTGGCGCATTTACGTTCTAGATGTCTATGGGCTCCAGTAACCACTTAACACCAGGTGGGCTATGAGTTCGTCCACCCATCTAAGCAATAAAAATAAATAAAAATATCTGTATATTTTTGGAGTTGCAGACAGATCTCTATGCAATCTTACATAGTGACAGATGAGACATATGCTCACTTCTTATAGAGTTCTTAATAACTTTATGAGGTTGTCAGCAACATCAAGAGGCTGATTGACATCCTAGAGGCGGTTGGATGGTGCAGAATGCGAAATTTTCCAAAATTTGTAGACTGTATATTTACAGAACCAAGCTCATACTTAAGATTCAAGATACATGTTTGAGAATTCAAAGTATGATACAGTACATTATTCATAATAATTACATCAATTAATGGCATACCTATCAAGCCATGAATATCAAAAGCTAATTATGCAAATGAATATTGTTTTCTGTTTCTATTGAGGTTGTGCAGAAAATATTGTCATAATTTTCACTTTAGACAATCAGTTCTGCTACATATTTTATCGACGCTTGAAAGGCAAAAGTGACTAAGCGACAATAACTGATTTGTACATAAATGATAGGCAATAACCTTATTCGATGCGCAAAAAATATATATTTCTAGGTCTATTAAAATCATTTCAATCCTACAGCTACTAGCTAGATTCTATTACAGCTGGATTCATTAAAATAAATTTTGTTTTCAGGTATTTCAACTTTAAATTAGTCTACTGTAAAGTTCACGCATTGTCGCTTAGTCACGTTTGCCTTTCAAGCGTCGTTATGAATATTAAGCATTTTAAAGTCATTGAAGAATAATGTAAAATTTTGTGATGCTATTTTCTGGTATATAGTCTTGTACCTTGTATAGCATCCATACAATAATGACACCATGTTCATCACTAGTTGTTAGTTTCTGGAAAACTTCATTCCATATTGCCACACATATTTGGCCAGTGTGACCCTCGAGACTCAAATTCATTGACAAATTTCCTCCACCACCTGGAAAAATGTTGGAAAGGCAAAATTGTTCTATTTAACTTTTGTTTGGTACAATTTGAACAATTTCAGCTATAAGATATTTATTTAGTGTTTACCACACATTTTATTTTAATAACATTACACCACAACTCTAGGGAGAGAGGTTTAGATTATGTAGAAGTGGCATTGGATTGGTCACACATTAAGAAAGCCCAATACCCACCTATCCAAGAGCACTGACCTGGAAAGTGTTTGGCAAAAGGAAGAGAACAAATTGGCATCGCTCAGTAGAGCAGGAATGGGGAATCTTGGGCATCATGTGGAAGGAAGTACAACAGACTGCCTCAGACTGATGCAAATGAAAGAATTTGTTTCGAGTCCTAAGCCCCAGCAGAGGATAATAGGAAAGAAGAAGAATAAGACAACCCAAGTTTGACTTTACCTGTTACCAGCTATAGGCAGCAGCTTGGCTCTGCCTCTGGCAATGCTGAAGTCCATGTGCGACGGTAACCGCTCACCATCAGGTGGGCCGTATGCTAGTTAGCCTACAAGGGCAATAAAAAAAATAAAAAAGTTACCGGTAACTAACTTTTATTTTTGCAAATTTTTACACAAAATAATAATATATAAGGGCTAATATAGAGATCTCCGAAAAGATAGATTAAAGTTGAGAGTAATCAAGTTTTTTACTAATTATCTTTATGTTGAAGACATCTTTAATTGAAGAAAGATGGTAATTAATACAGACATGAAAACAATTTTAAAATAATGTTTTTTTTATATATTTTTTATTGCTTATGTTATATGAATTATCTTTCTAATGTTCAGTTACTATTGTAGTCGTAAAAACTGGTAAAATAGGATCAATAGTCTCAAATAATGCAATGGAGAAAAGAGAAATGGTCCCTTTGCAATTATTTATTTACCTTTAGAATTAGTTTATTAGTAGACAGTTTATTTTTCCTACCTCAGTTTAATAACATTCTTCAGGATGCTATTTAATGCAACCTAAGTGTCAGGATATAAGATAAAATCTTAAATTCGGTTTTTGTTAGCTTTGCGTATTTGAATGAATTACGAGCATTGGAAAATTTTTAAGTCATATTTACCCGATTCCAATTTTAAAACTTTTAACATCCCTTCTTCTCCACCAACTGCAATATATCCCGATGAATGATTCCATGATATGCAAGAAACTTTTGACTGCTTTGGGATGGCTATCTAAAATTAGGTATTAGGAAGATTACACGAAACATTTACACGTTGCCATGGAAACAAGAATCAAAACAATAAATTAAAATCACCTTTTTACTCATGTAAATAAACATTATGTACTTTTGCTAACTATTAGACAATATAGCATTAAAAGGCAATAAATTGAAATAAATACAATTAACTTTTAGTGTAGGATTTATGCTGTATTAAGCTTCCGATTATATGCATCCTGGAACTTTATCTAAATCCTCGGTAAACGTAGCAAGACATCTATGTTCTTTGTTTTGATTTTATTTTATATTTTGAACCCTGGAAGTAGCTCTAATTAGAAGTAATTAAAAGTTACTCCAGCTCTTAATAAGTGTATTAAATTTATAGCTGTTTACCGGTTTTTAAATTTGAAGTCCTAATTTGGAAAAAGAAAATAAAATGTATTATAGACATTATTTGTTGTTTCTTCGTTACGTTCGGCAAAGGAAACTTAGCCCATACAACTAAACTTTATAATAGAGATCTGAAGGCATGTGTGTGTGAACAACTTGATTAAACAAATTAATAAATATTCTCATAATAACATAGCAAGAGAGTGGTATGAATGGCTTTTTTATGTATGAACCTAAGAATCAGTACCTAGTGATTTTTTTGAATTCCTCACATTTGTACACTTTTGCATACTAAGCGATTATTAATCTGCACGATTATGCTGTGAAAGGTAAAAATATGTAAAATAGGTAAAAATAGATAATAACTGTGAAGTATAGTTAAAATTAAACAAAGCTTTATGTCTCGCGTTCCCACAAAAAAAATATTAAAGTGTGAATATGTTTTACTGTAACTCCGAAAAAAACAAATTTAGGACATTCAACTTAATCTGTTTTGTCATTGAAAGAAATGCCTTTAAAACAACCATCAGTTGGACATTAATCTTAAAAGGTAAAATATTAAAGACCCAGTCAAATGATTTATTTATTTAACTTGTTCGCTTATTTAGATATAACTCTATAAAATGTTTCATATTATAAGTGGCCGAAGCCATGTGATTTATCTAAATATTGAAATGAATCAATGAAAAGAATTAATTCCAAAGTCATCATGGCCTAAAGGATAAGACATCCAGTTCATTCTTATCTAGCGATGTAACGATGCTCGAATCCCGCAAGCAAGTACTAATTTTTCTAATGAAATATGTACTTTGTCAAGTACGTATTGCATGCTCGATGCTTCTTATTGTGACTATAAAATGCAAACAAAAACCGTCACCCAATGTATCAGTATGCAACTGAACCAAAATATACGTGAATGTCGAAATATACGTTATTATTTACGAGTCGTAAAACTAACACATAAATGGTTGCAAGAGTTGGTAAATACAAACGTAATTTTAATTCGAAATGATGGTAAATGATCATATGGTAAAGAATAAGACATCCGGTGCATTCGTATGTAGCGATGCACCGGTGTTCGAATCCCGCAGGCGGGTACCAATTTTTCTAATGAAATACGTACTTAACAAATGTTCACAATTGACTTCCGCGATGAAGGAACAGCATTGCGTAACAAAAATCAAATCCGCAAAATTATAATTTGGGTACTAATTACTGTTGGTAGGCTTGTGAGTCCGCACGAGTAGGTACCACCACCCTGCCTATTTTAACCGTAAAGCAGCAGTACCTTTTGGTTTGAATGGTGGGACTTTGCATCTATACCTAGAACTTATATCTCAAGGTGGGTGGCAGCATCTAGGCTGTAGATGTCGATGGGCTCCAGTAGCCACCTAACACCAGGCGGGCTATGAACTCGTCCACCCATTTAGGCAATAAAAAAAATCAACATCGCCAAGAATCAATAAGTCACCATTCGCAGTCATTGTGCTTTATTAAAAGCAAGGTTGTTTAAGTATAAAGAAATACGATAGGCAGTGGCTTGGCTCTGCCTCTGGTTTTGCTCAGGTCTATGAGCGACGCTAACCACTCATCATCAGGTGGGCCGTAATGTCGTTTGCTTGCAAGGTAAATAAAAAAAAACAAGCTTACAAATTAAATTAATTAATTTAACAACATTCGAGTTCGCCATTCAACAAGCAATACTGAATAGTTTAGGAATTGCTTAAATTCACAAGAGTGGAAGAAAAGATAAAAATCGCAAAACATGACTTTACGGTTTTTTTTTTGCAAAGAAAAACTTAATTCTCAGTGAATTATTCACGATTGATGGGATATTCTTTTCTATTTCATTTCGTTTTCGTTAAATTTAATTTTAAAACAAACGTATGAGCTATGTTCCCTTTGCTAGTTAAAATTGCAAGAACATTAATTATTGACCAGCAATGTAAAACATCTCAGATTCAAATCATTTTGAACAGTGTTTTGAACCAAAATCAATGAAGTTAAAATAATTGTTGAATTTCATGTTAATATTTAAATACTGTATTGTCCCTAGACGTTAATAGTGTTAACAAATATTATTCATAATAGTTTTTTGTGTTTAAAACAGATTTTTCAAGCTGCTTTTATTTTATGAAAATGAAATATTCAAAGTGGAAATGGTTCCAAATAAATACAGAAATTACAAATTCCATCCGCACCGCTTAAGAATAATTTTCAAAAATTCTCTTCAAACGCATAAAAATGTTGGGAAGGAAGCAGAGCTTGAAAGGAGAGCCTGTGCTGGCTGATTACGGACCAGAGGAATCGCTAAATGAAAGTGCTGATATCGAATGGGTTAATAAGGTAGTTTTTTGTTGCTTGTTTGCTTTAAAATACTTGCTCATGACATACATTTTATGGTAGGCAGCGGCTTGGCTCTGCTCCTGGCATTGCTGACGTCCATGAGCGACGGTGACCACTTACCACCAGGTGGGCCGTATGCTCGTCTGCCTACAAAGGCAATAAAAAAAAATACAGCTACAATCGACGTAAATTTGCCAAGGCAATTCCAAGGACGCAGCCAATCTACTCACTAAATCATAAATGAAAGTTCAAGACAAAAATTATATATTGTTGGCATTTGTTGGGTGTTCAGGTAAATATAGTGGAGCAGTATTTCATTACCTATGTCCTCATTTGTAGACTCATTCACTACAAATCACATTTTGGCCTTTTGCTTAATATTGCTCTCTAGACCAGGACCCCTATATAGTTATATCAATTAAATTCCAAACATAAAATAAACTTTCAGGCTATTAATAATCAGTTTCATGGCATTTTGGGCATCATAAAATTCTTTACTATCTATCATCTATATAAAAAAAATTATGTTTAAATGAATGCCTGTTTTCTATTTATATTCATAAAAGATTTATCTGATTGTGATGAAAGTTGGTACATTTTCCATTAATCAAGCTTTTTTTATTGTACTTTAAACACATTACTACAAATACTACAGGTTACGTTGAATTATTATTAAGAAATCATTCTTTTTCATATAAAGGAGTGAAAGGTATTTGGTGTGAGTGACATTTTTGCAACATCATATTAGAGCTATTTAAAGTAAAAAATTTAGACAAAATATCATAACAATTTTTTTTTAGCTAATTGAGTGGAGTAAACTTTATTGAAGTTCAATTAAAAACATTGAACAGTTGATGCTAATACCAAATAAAACGGACCTTTAATTATCAAGATAAATGTCGTGCATTAAGTAAAATGTCACTTAAACCAAATAGTCTTTCATCTCTCGATATAATTATTAAGAGTTGTCATAACTAGGTTACACAGATTTCACTTCACTTTAAAAAAAGTTTTGAAGAGAAGAAGAAAACAACTTTATGATATAAAATGTACCTTAACTGATTTCAAATTTTCTTTGACTATTTTAATCAAATTGTCTAATTATTTTTTACAATTTTACTACTCTCATGAATTTTGTTTGCCATTTTAAATTAAAATTTAACAGCAACAAACATTATTTTACAGCTATGGGTTAGAAGAATTTTGAGACTATGTGCCCTTTTGAGTTTGATGTCTGTATCTTTAAACACACCAAAATCATTTGAGAAGTATCCTTATCTTCAAACTATAACTTTTGTAGTTGATTGCTGCGTAACTCTACTTTTTACTGCTGAAATGATTGCTAAAATGCACATAAGAGGAATTCTTAAGGTAAGGAGTTACAGTCAATATTTTCGCAATTTTTGTTTATTTAATACACTTCAATTTATTTATACCACCTTTGGTAAAACTTGTAATTGGATCCCATATAAATCACATCATTAAAGCCTAAATAGAATAGTGATAACTACCAGTGCATGTTTACATTTTACCACATTACTAATTTAAGTAGTTTAAGTAATTTTTTTTAATGTATCTGTTATTAAACAAAATTTAGTATACTTTACATTTGCTACTGTGTTCATAGATAATTGTTTGAAACTTCAAATAAAAAAGCAATTATTTTTTTCAGGGGGATGTTGCATACCTAAAAGATCATTGGTGCCAATTTGATGCTTCTATGGTATTTTTTCTTTGGGTATCAGTATTGCTACAAATGTTTGAGTTAACAGGAATTGTACCTAGATACAGCTATTTAAGCATACTAAGAGCACCTAGGCCATTAATTATGATACGGTTTTTAAGAGTATTTTTGAAGTTTTCCATGCCAAAATCTAGAATAAACCAGATATTCAAGTAAGTTTGTTGCTCCTACCACTAAATATTGTTTTTTTTTGTTGATATTAAATTATACTGAGTGTATTACTTTTATAAATTACAGGAGATCAAGTCAACAAATCTACAATGTTACACTATTCTTCTTGTTTTTTATGTCACTGTATAGTTTGCTTGGTGTTCAATTTTTTGGAGAGCTCACACATCATTGTGTTAGGAACAACACCCACCCAAGGTAAAGTTTAATTTTCTATTTTTACCATGATTATAAAATGTCAAATGGGTAATAGATGGATCTGGTAGACATAGTTACTAAGCCAGCTTAGTTCTATACAGGGTATGGTAGAGTAATATTGTTATACACCTACTGGTTAGCAAAGGTCAACATGGGACAGGGTTGAAATATGGCTGTTTTATTGAAGATTAAATTTTTTTTATATACACAGTAGTTGCAGCTATTTGAACATAAGGCTATTCAAAAATCTTAGGCAAGCTAGGTAGTAGTGGCTCAAGAATCTTGCCTTGCAATTTTATAATTGTTTATTTTATTTTGGACTTAATTTAAAAACCAAACGTCAATATAAACTAGTTCCAGTCTCAATTATAAGCAGAGCTGACAAAGTAAATGTAGTTGGTTTGCCTTTTTTATTATAATTTTTGAAACTTTTTATATCACTGAAGTATTGATATTACAACAAATAAAAAATAAACTAAACCTTTATGTATTTTTCAGTGACATAACGATAAACTCATTAGCAATCCCAGACAATGTAGTTGGTTTGCCTTTTTTATTAAAAATTTTTAAACCT